GCGCCTCTGTGCCCAGCCGGCCCCCGAGCTGCGGCAGGCGGCGTTCCTGCGGCTGAGCCCCCACGAGGACCCCAGGCTGCTGGAGGCCGCCCTGGCCCTGGTGCCCACTCACCTGCCCCGCCTCCGCTCCCTGGTCCTCACAGGTGAGCTTGCCTGCCTCCTGCCCTGGACCTGCCTTCCCAGGGGCACTGCTGAGCTGACCCAGCGCGCACGGGGCAGCGCGGCCCGGCACTGTCCGGTACCTGCTGCAGTTCAGATGGGGGGGCTCCTGGGTGGGGCTGGGGGCTGGGGTGCTGGCGCTAAAGGCCATGATCCCTGCCCCTCCCCAGGAGGGCAGCGCCGGGACCCACTGGGTGCCTGTCTCCCGGGCGCCCTGAACACACTGCCAGCCGCCCTGGGCGGCCTGGCCCGCCTGGCCCACCTGGACCTAAGCTTCAACAGCCTGCGGACGCTGCCGGCCTGTGTCCCACACATGCGTGGCCTGGATGCGCTGCTGGTCTCCTACAACCACCTCTCGGAGCTGCCTGAGGCTCTGGGCGCCCTCACTGCCCTCACCTTCCTCTCGGCCGCCCACAACCAGCTCCAGGCACTGCCCACCACGCTGGGCGCGCTGACCAGCCTGCAGCGCCTCGACCTCTCGGGGAACATGCTGGACGCCCTGCCCCCTGCCATCTCAGGCCTCTGCAGCCTCTCTGAGCTGAACCTGGCGTCCAACGCACTGCAGACCATTCCCGCCTCCTTGGGTGAGTGGTGGCAGAGCCCGGGGCCAGCGGGCAGCATCCCTTGGCCCCTGTGGACTACGGGCTGCTCATGCCAGCCAGTGCCCACTGCTCTCCGCCCGTCCACAGCTGGGCTGCGCTCCCTGCGGGTCCTCACCCTTCATAGCAACCGTCTAACCTCCGTGCCCGCCAGCCTGGCGGGCCTCCCGCTGCTGGTCCAGCTGGACCTGCGAGACAACCAGCTCCGGGATGTGCCTGTGGAGCTACGGGATGCCCCCTTCGTGCGTCTGAAGGGCAACCCCTTGGGCGAGGCCCCCCCAGGCCTCCCGAGCCCCCCAGGTAGGCCCACAGCTAGGGCAGGTGATGGGTGGGCCCCCAGGCCTGGCACCAACCCCAACACCGATCAACTCCTCCTGCAGGGAGGCCCCTGGAGCCGGGAATGCCCCGGCTGTTCCTGACCTCGGATGTGGACAGGTAGGGGTGGTGGGTGAGGGGCACCATCTCTCTACCCTGTCCCCAGGGGCCTCTCGCTGCCCTCTGACCCACGCCCCTCCTTCCTCAGCTTCCCAGTGACCCCTCGAGGCTGCTGTGTGACCCTGGCCAGTGGTTTCCGCCTGCGGTTCCCAGCAGGGGCCACTGCGACCCCTGTCACCATCTCCTACCAGCTGTGGCTGCCGGAGCCGGGCCTGGCCCCGCTGGGCCCCCACGACTCCCTGCTTAGCGGTGTCCTGGAGCTGCGGCCCCACGGGCTGGTCTTCCACCAGGCAGGACAAGGAGGGTGGAGGATGAGTGGGGACGCGGGCAGGCTGGGCCCCAACCCTCACACACCCTGCCTCCACAGGACGTGAGCCTGTGGCTGCGGGTCGTGCCCCCTCGGACCCGGCTGTGGCGTGAGGTGGTGGTCAGGACCCGGAGTGACAGCAGCTGGAGTGACCTGGAGACCCACCTGGAGAAGGAGGCGCCCCAAGTGAGACCTGCATGGGCTAGGCGGGGTCAGCGGGCAGCCCCGGCCGCTGCCTGCCGCTCTCACAGCGTCTTTCTTCTGCCTCTCACTGTCCCAGTGGCTCTGGGCCCGCTGCCAGGTGCCCCACTTCTCATGGTTCCTCGCAGTCCTGCGCCCTGTGTCTGATGCCTGCCTGGTGCCACCGGAGGGGACACTGCTGTGTTCCTCGGGCCATCCCGGGGTCAAGGTCACCTTCCCCCCAGGGGCCACTCAGGAACCTCGCCGTGTGTCCATGCAGGTATGGGTCGGCTGGGCTGAGGCGGCAGGGTTCCCTAGCAAACGGATGCTCAGGGCTCCTGTCCACTGCAGGTGGTACACATGGCTGGCCGGGAGCTGCGAGCCCTCCTGGGGGAGCCCCAGGCAGCCGTGAGTCCCCTGCTGTGCCTGTCCCTCAGCGGCGACTCTGCCTTCCTGCAGCCGGTCACTGTGCAGCTGCCTCTGCCGGCCGGGCTCACAGGTAAGAGGCAGCCGGCTGGGACCTGGCCCCAGGACCTGGCCGGGGGGCCTCAGCTGCTGTCCCCACCCAGGCCTCAGTCTGGACCGCTCCCGCCTGCACCTGCTACACCTGGCCCCTCCCGCAGCCTCCTGGGATGACATCACAGCGGGGGTGGGGCTGGAGCTCACCCACCTGTATGCCCGCTTCCAGGTCACCCACTTCTCCTGGTCAGTGCGCCCTGCCCGCTCCCTCAGCCCCCCTCCCTGTGTGTTGAGCCCCCTAGCTTCACTCCCGGCCCCCCAGGTACTGGCTGTGGTATACCACCAAGACCTGTGTTGGGGAGCTGGCGCGCAAGGCCTGGGAGAGGCTGCGGCTCCACCGCGTGAACCTCATCGCACTGCAGCGACGCCGGGACCCTGAGCAGGTCCTCCTGCAGTGCCTGCCCCGGGACAAGGTGGGGCAGGGGGACCAGGGACAGTGGAGAGAGCCTGGGGGAGGCTGTGGGTGCCAAGGGCAGTGCGGGGGGCTCGGGAGGCTGTGGTGGGCTGGGACAGTGAGGGAGGCTGTGGGGGTCCAGGGGCGGTGTGGGGAGCTGTCCGGGGCTGTTCACTGGGAAGCATCGGGGGGTCCCAGGAGCTCGGGCTCCCTGCAGGTGGACGCTACCCTGAGGCGGCTGCTGGATCGGTACCGCGGCCCGGAGCCCTCGGACACCGTGGAACTGTTCGAGGGCGAGAAGTTCTTTGCAGCTTTCGAGCGGGGCATTGAGGTGGACGCGGGTAGGCCCTGTGCCCGGGCGGGGACCCCTTGGGCTCTGCCTTCCGCCCACCGCCAGCTGACTGCCGCTCTCCCCCAGACCGGCCCGACTGCGTGGGGGGCAGAGTCTGCTTTGTCTTCTACTCCCACCTCAAGAACGTGAAGGAGTTGTATGTGAGCACAGCTCTGGACCGCCGGGCTCAGGACGTGCGGGGACAGGTGTGTGCTTGGGCTCGGGCACCGGCCCCCGGGCTGCCCAGAGCGCTGAGTGTCCCCTCCCCCAGGTGTCCTTCTACCGGGGCACGGTGCCCACCGAGGTCCCCGCGGAGGCCGAGGCCGCCCGGCGGAGGAAGGGTGCAGACGACCTGTGGATGGCTACCCTGCCCCTCAAACTGCCGGTGCGGACATAGCCCGGGGGTGCTGGGGGCTTGTGGGCAGGGCAGCGAGGTGGGGTTCCCTACACGCCTTTCTTCCCGCAGAGGCTGCGGGCATCCGCAAGGGCAGAGCAGGGCGCTGGACTCTCCCTGGCCCCTCTGAACTTGGGTGACGCGGAGACCGGCTTCTTGACCCAGAGCAACCTGCTGAGTGTGGCAGCTCGCCTGGGGCCTGACTGGCCCAACGTGGCCCTGCACCTGGGCCTCCCCCACCAGCAGCTGCAGCGCATCCGCCACGCCTTCCGGTGAGGGGAGCGGCCAGGAGCGCGGAGAGCTGGGCCTCAGCCTGCTGGACTCTTGGTCACCACCCCCTCCTCTCCCAGGGACGACCTGGACGGGCAGATCCGCCATATGCTCTTCTCCTGGGCCGAGCGCCAGGCTGGGCAGCCCGGGGCCGTGGGGAAGCTGCTGACGGCCCTGGAGCAGAGCGACCGGCGGGACGTGGCAGAGGAGGTTCGAGCCATCCTGGACCTTGGGCACAGCAAATACCAGGACAGCATCCGGCGCACAGGCCTGGCCGGGCAGGACCCCTCTCCACCTGACCCCAGCCCTGCACTGGCTGCGGAGCCTGCCCAGGCCTAGGCGTGGCCATATGGCCCTGGACCTTGACCTGCTGGCGTGTGCGGGGGGGCCCTCTGTGAAAGCCTTGGTGCTCCGTGTGCAAAAAACACGCGCTGTTGCCTCTGTTGCAGCTGGCTTTATTTGAGGGGTGGGAAGGAAGCTGGAAGGCCGGGGGTGCCCCTGTGCCCAGGACGCCCTCCTAGCGAGCGCCACACCTCCCCCCCACCCCTGCTACAAAATAGCAGCCAGCCCGATACAAAATCGCCTCTGCTGTCCCGCTGGTTCCCTCGCAACTGCCCCAGGTGGCTGCGGGACCCCTCCTCGCCCAGAGCACCCCTCCCACGCGCTCCACCAACACGCGCGTCCCTCGGGTGCGGGCAGCAGGCCCAGAGGGCTCCCAGGTGGCGGCGGCGCAGTGGCCGCGGCGGCCGGGAGGGGGAGCCGGAGCCCGCGAGCCGGGCCGGGGGCGGAGCGCGCGCGGCCTCGAGCGGACGCGCCTCCCCGCCTCGGTGCAGGCGCGCGGCGCGGCGGGCGGCGGAGCGCGGTGAGTGCCTGCGGGGCTGCCGCGTGCGCTCGCCCGGGCGCGGCCCGGCTGCCGCGGCGGGGGAGGAGGCTGCTGCCCGCTGGGGCGCGCGGGGTGGCCGCGGCGGGTGCTGGGCCGCCGGATGCTCCGGCCCCTCGGGCGCCCGGGTGTGGGAGGCCGCGCTCGGCCCCGGCTGTGCCGGGCGCGCTCTCCGCGCACACGTGTCCCCGCGGGTGGGCGCCTGGGGCCCGGGCGCACGCGAGGTCGTGCCGGGGCGCACTCGCGGGCCCCCGCGGACGGGCGTGGACGCGTGCGTGGCCAGGCGGGGGCCCGCATCGCCTTTGTCCGCCGGCTGGGGCGCGGCGCCGCCCAGGACCCCTTCCGGGCCTTGCAGCCAGCCGGGAGCGATTGTGTGGGAAGCGCCCCGGGCCTCACCCCTGGCTGCCCTTACTGGGCAAGGCGGCGTGGCCCCTGGTGTCCCCAAGCCGCTTCTGCCCAGCTCACCTAAGGGCAGGGAGGGGGCCAAGTGCAGAGGAAGCCCTGCCAGCTGATGGCTCCGCTCTCCAGGGAAGGACGGCTCTACGAGGGCTGGACTAGACCCTTTGGAGGGATTTCAGAGGGGGTACCAGTCGCCCCAGAAGGCCCCAGGGCAGCTGGCAGAGCCGCTTAGGCCTGTCCGCACCTCCAGAGGCAGGTGGGGTGGGGGAGGGACCGGGTTGAAGTTCAGAGGCTGGCGAAGGATGTGGCCCTGACCCTGGCCCCGGCGCCGCAGAGTGCCCCATCCCCTGCCCTCTGGACCTGCCAGGTGTGCGCGGCCTGGGTGGCCGCCAGCCAGCCCTCCCCTGCCCTTGTGCACCTGCCCCTGACTGACAGGCACAGGTGGGAGCCGCGCCTCCCCAGGGGCTCGCAGGGTGCCAGGCCGGGAGCTGATGCTGCACACGGCCCCCTGCGGCTGCGGCCAGCACCCCCACACACACCTCCGTGGCCGGGGTCTGCAGTCCCTGGTGGGTGGGACGCCCCCAGCCCTCCTGCCTCTCCCAGAAGCTGCCAGGAGCCCGGCTGCCTAAAGTGAAAGAGAAAGTTGCCCCCCTCCCCACAGCCCGCCCCACCCCGCCCCGCGGCCAATCCCGCGGCCCGTCCCTCCCCCTCTGCTGCCGGCTTTATCTGCGGGGAGGTGGCTCCGGGCGAGGGACCTGGGGGTGGTCACGAGCCGCGTGAGCTTGCCGAGCTGCCAGCTGCTGGTGAGTCTGTCACTGCTGACCTCGGGAGGGGGAGGCAGCGGCAGGAGCGGGTCCAGGGCTCCAGCAGCCCCCCACCCATCACCTCACTGGCTTTCCTGGAAGTCCCAGCCGACGGCCGGCGGGAGATAGCCCATCTCTCCTGTGGAATGGATGGGGGCAGCCCCTGGGAGCCCCAGGCCAGCGTCGTCTAGCCTAACCGGCTGACCAGGGATGCTGAAGACCCCCAGACCCATTCTGAGGTGGCAGGAGCCAGCTCTGCATCTGGGGGGGGGGGGGCCGTCCCAGCCAAGCTGGTTCAGGGTCAAGGTTCTCGGGCAGCCACTCTGGCCCGTGCCACTGTCCCCCAGGGTGGCCTGGCCCTTTAAAAGCTGGAGCTCAAGCTGTGTGCACGTGAGCGCCAGCGTGTGCTGTGGAAGGCCAGCCGGGAGGACACATGAGGGGCCCAGGGGTGGGTGGCCGTGAGGAGCCGCCTCCCTGACCCAAGCATCTCCTGCCTGGGGTGGTGGGTACGGCGCGGGAGGCTGGGGTCTCCTTGATTCCCTGCCTCCCTCCAGGACCTAGCTGCCCGTGGTGGTAACCGGCTCCGTGGTGGTCCCTGAAGGTGGGGGCCCAGCACCAGCCCAAGCCCCACCCACACGCTGCCGCCTCAGCCACCCTCCCCCCCTAGCCCCCCTAGCCCTCCCTGTTGGCTTCTACTGTTGGTTGTGCCGTGCTGGGGGTTCAATGGCTGAGAAACAGATCAGGTGAGCCCCACCCTTGGATCCCGCACCCCCAACCTGGCTCCCACGGCCCCTCTGCAGGGCAGGGAGTGGGTCTGACACCCCCTCCATCCGCACAGCCTGCCCGCCAAGCTCATCAATGGTGGCATTGCGGGCCTCATCGGGGTCACCTGCGTGTTCCCCATTGACCTGGCCAAGACGCGGCTGCAGAACCAGCAGAATGGCCAGCGCATGTATGCCAGCATGTGAGTACCCGGCAGATGGGGCAGCAGGGAGGGGACGGCCTCACTGCGGGTCCCCGGCCTACACTGGGGCCAGCCCCCAGCTCACCTCATCCCTCTTGGCCACAGGTCCGACTGCCTCATCAAGACCATTCGGTCCGAGGGCTACTTCGGGATGTACCGGGGTGAGGCTGGCGCTTGCAGGGTGCATGGGGGGAGGGGTGGTCCTGCTGAGTGGCAGCTGTCAGTGGCCCACCTGGGCTCTTGGTGCCCAGCGTGGCTCTGTGCCTCCCCCTGCTCGCCTTCTGGCACAGGCAGAACCCCATCTGTGCCTGGGAAGGGAGGGGTGTCATCACTGCAAAGCAGCTTAGGGAATAGCAGGGCGGGAGTCGCCCAGAAGCTAGCAGCCCTGGGCGCTGGGGTCCAGCGTCCTTGCCCCTTGGCACTGGAGATGAGGGGAAGTGGAGGTGGAAGCGGGGGTGAATGCCCGACTGTCCACTGTCCCTGCCAGTCCCGCCCCCCCTGGCACCAGCCAGACCCAAATGTGGGTGAGAGGGCAGGAGCGGGCAGCAGAGAACAGCCAGGATGGGGCTGTGCCAGCCGGGAGGCTGCGCTGGCCGCTGGCCTCCAGCCTGGGCCCCTGAGCCCATCTACTGCCCCTCACCCTCTTGAGCGCTGTGTGTCCCACAGGGGCCGCCGTGAACCTGACCTTGGTCACCCCCGAGAAGGCTATCAAACTGGCAGCCAACGACTTCTTCCGATACCAGCTGTCCAAGGACGGGTGAGAGGCCCTGGGTGGGACTGGTCCTCTAACTGCCAGCCCCCCGGCACAGGAGGTGCGGTTGTCCGAATCCTATGCTGGCCCTGTCAGTTGCCTGTGGGGGCACCCCTGCACCCCAATTCTGCTGTCCCCAAGTGCAATGTGGGGTCTCTGGGGAGGGACTGACCTTCCCCTCCTCACTGGGCCCTGCCACACGGTGCCAGGCAGCCGCTGACCCTGCTTAAGGAGATGCTGGCCGGCTGTGGGGCGGGCACGTGCCAGGTGATTGTGACCACGCCCATGGAGATGCTGAAGATCCAGCTGCAGGATGCGGGGCGCATTGGTGAGGGGGCCGGGCCTGGGAGTGGGGGCTGGGGAGGGCAGCTGCCTGGCCCCTGCTCAACCCTCCCAAGAAGTGACAGCAACCCCTCTCCCCAGCTGCTCAGAGGAAGATCCTGGCTGCCCAGGCCCAGCTCTCGGCCCAGGGTGGCGTCCAGCCCTCCGTGGAGGCTCCGGCTGTGCCCCGGCCCACGGCTGTCCAGCTGACCCGGGACCTGCTGCGGAGCCACGGCATCGCTGGCCTCTACAAGGGCCTGGGGGCCACGCTGCTGAGGTGGGGACTGTGTTGCTCAGGTGCGGGGGACAGGGTAGGGGTGTCGGCCTGCTGCTGCCCCCAGGGTCACCGGGGGTCTCCCTCCCCCCCTACAGGGACGTCCCCTTCTCCATCGTCTACTTCCCCCTCTTTGCCAACCTGAACCAGCTGGGGCGCCCGGCGGGCGAGGAGAAGTCGCCCTTCTACGTATCCTTCCTGGCCGGCTGCGTGGCTGGCAGCACGGCCGCAGTGGCCGTCAACCCCTGTGATGGTCAGTGCCGGGGGATGGGGGCTCCTGAGGGTGGGACCCCAGGGGGCGTGCTGGGGGAGCGGGGTTCCCTCGCTCACCTGCCGGTCCTCACAGTGGTGAAGACGCGTCTGCAGTCACTGCAGCGTGGGGTGAATGAAGACACCTACTCGGGAATCGTGGACTGTGCCAGGTGGGCCGGGCCCCTAGGCGGGCGGGCGGGCCGGGGCGTGGTGTGAGCGGCCCTGACCTTGCTCTCTGCCCCGCAGGAAGATCTGGCAGCACGAGGGCCCGACGGCCTTCCTGAAGGGTGCCTACTGCCGTGCCCTGGTCATCGCACCACTGTTTGGCATTGCACAGGTGGTCTACTTCCTGGGCATTGCGGAGTCCCTCCTGGGGCTGCTGCCGTCCCGCCAGGCCTGAGCCGGACCATGCAGCGGCCAGCCCAGGCAGTACCCCCACCCTGGGGGCGAGTGGTGCAGGGTCCACGCGGGTGGCACTCCCACGCGCCTCGCCTGCCCAGGCATAGGGACCAGCGTCCTATTTATGTAGAAAAATGTGGAAATCTTGACATTCCTCCGGCCAGCCCTGCCCCAGTCCTGTCCGGTTCGCGGCCCCAGGGACAGAGCTGGTCTCTGCTGGGGCTCCCGCGGCCGGGGCTGCGCGGGGTGGCTCCGCCAATCGGCTCTCATCTCTGAGGTCCTCGTGGCCCTTCGGGGGACCGGCACAATCCTATTTATTGAACCTGCTGCGCCCATCCCTGTCCGTCTGTCCGTCCACCTTCCACCAGGACTCAGTCCAGCCCCCTCTTGGGCGGCCCTGGAGAAGAGAGGGATGGCACGGCCACCCTGTGGGACCCTGACATGTGAGGGGTGTGCCGCCCAGCCCTCCGCTGGCCAGGCCCCTTGGGAGCGCCAGGGCTGAGCCCGTGCGCTGGCTGCCCCAGCCCAGTCCAGAGATGTCCCGTCCTGGCCCTCGCCCTGGGAGCGGGCAGGTGGGCGCCCTGCCTGTCGTGCCCCGTCCTGGGCCTCTGCCCGCCTCGTGGTTGTGCTGCTCAGTGTCCCCACGTGCTGGTGCTGTCGGCTGCCCCGGGACTGCCCCTGTCGCCACTCCTGCACCGTGGAAGCTGTGCTGCTGCTTATAGAAGTCTATTTTTTTTCCTTTGAAGAGTTTTAAGAAGTAACTTTTGTGTCTTGTCATGTAAGAGGATAAATAAATATTCTACCTAGGTAGATGCCTGGCTCCAGGAGTGTGTGTGGGGGTGCTGCGGGAAGGGCGGAACCTCCCAGGTGGTCACCTGGCCACCTCCCAGGAGCCCCAGGGTCCAGTGTCTGGAAACTTCTGTTCCCGCCCACTCGGGCCACGCCCATGGGGCGGCCAGAGCTGCTCAGACCACGCCTCTGGGGGCGAGGACCGGGGGGGTTGTCTGGGGTGGGCGGGGTCCAGCCGGCCGAGCCGCTTGGGCCACGCCCACGTGGCTGTCAGAGCTGCCTAAACCACGCCTTTAGAGGCGGGGCAAAACCCACCGCGCCTCTCGGGCTACGCCCACGGGGCGGAGCCGCCGCCGGTCCTGCGCACGGCCCTGCGCGGTGCATTGTGGGCAACTCCCGGGCTCCGCGCATCGCAGCCGCGCCGGCGGGAGGGAGCGCAGCACTGCGGGACGCAGGACGGAGTAAGGCGGCGGGCGCGGACGCGGCTGGCGCCCCGGGGGAGGCGCCCGGGCTGGAAGGTCGCGGGGCTCGGCTGGGCCCTGCGGCTCCGGTGGGCACGGGCGGCTGGAGGGAGGGCCGAGCCGGGGCGGAGGGAGCCGAGGGAACGGAGCCCCGCGCCTTGCACCCTGGGCACCCACGGGCGGGGCGGGAGAAGGGCAGCCACCGGGCCCTGGGACGTGGGACAGCGGCCAGGCCTCTGGGTGGACACCCTGGTCACACTGCGACCTTCAGGTGACCTTCAGCGAGGCCTGGCAGACTGGCCCCATCTTCCCACCAGAGGCTGACAGGTGGTCCCTGGGCTGCGGGAACGCCAGGCTCTGCGTGGCCGGGCCTGGGCCCCATCTCCACGCCCCTGTGCCACCCGAGCGACAAGCACCCCCAGGGTACAGCAGGGACTCTATGACCTTGAGCCGCCGCAGAGGAGGCCGTCCGGGAGGCCTTGTCCCTGGGTCTGTGTTGGTCTGTGTTGTCCCCTAGCCTTGGGCCGACTCTCAGCAACAGCCCCTGCTGCTAGCTTGCCCACCCTGCCCAGCGCCAGCCAGAAGGATATGGGCATGTACCGTGCCCTGCCCTCCCCCATGTATGGCCACAGCCAGCATACAACTGGGGCAGCAGGAACCAGCAGAGGCCAGGCGGGAGAGGGGTCTGACGTGCACAGGAGGCATGGAAGCACAGAGGGACGGATGGGAGCACAGAGCCGGGTGGGGTCTCCCAGGCTCAAGAGGTGAGGGCTGCCTGGGGGCTGAATCCTTGTCCCCTACCCCCGCCCATGTGTCTCCTGCAGGCCCATATCATGCCCAGGGCCCAGCCGTGCTGAACTTACTGCCCGTCCCACACACCTGGCAGCACCACCAGCATGGAGGCTAGAGGGAAGGGGGCCGGCAGCCCCAAGCCCGACACCAAGGCGCCCCAGGCCACTGCTGAGGCCAAGGCTGCCCCGGCCGGTGACAGCAAGGCCACTTCCAGCAAGCCCATTAAGAAGGAGGGGCAGGTCGAGAAGCAGGGGCCGCCCACCCCTGCCTCAGCGGCCACCACCAAGAAAGCCCCAGCCAAGGCCGACCCTGCTCTTCTGAACAACCACAGCAACCTGAAGCCTACCCCTGTGGCCCCTGGCAGCCCCGAGCCAGCCCCAGAGCCCAAGGGCCCTGCAGATGGGGCCGAAGAAGAGCCAGCGGCCAGCGCCTCGGGGGGCCGGGCCTGGGCCTTGGAGAACTTGACTCCCCTGCTGGTGGCGGGGGGTGTGGCTGTGGCAGCCGTGGCCCTGACCCTGGGAGTGGCTTTTCTGGCCCGGAAGAAATGATGCCACTTTCTGTACAGAGCTGGAGCGTAATGCATGCAGAGCTGACCGCCACACGCACACACGCGTGCGTGCGCACACGCCCCAGCACGCCCCTCCCAGGCTGCAGGGAGCCCAGTGTGTGTCCAGCCTGGGCACTGGAGGTGGGCTGGCCTGGTCAGGGCCCAGGACATTAAAGGGTGTGGCTGTCCCAGTGGTCCCGCTCCTGCTCTGTCTCCAGCAAGCCCGCCCCGCAGCGCACACCCCTCGCTCCTGCTCCCCGCCTGCTTCTTGCCCCTTGTCTCACAAGCGTATACATGCAATAATTCTGGTAGCGTAGGATCGCTTGGCTGGCAACCGGCACCCATGCCCACAGCCCCTTCCAGCCTGCAGGGGGACCTTGCCCAGCCCCTAGGCACACGTGGTCCCAGCCTGGGCCTGGATGCTGAGGGAGGGGCTGTCCACACCTGTCTGGTGCCCATGGAAACGTGCCCAAGGGGAGGCCAGGGCTGAAATAAACTCTGTTACCTGACACTGGGCTGCTCTTGCCTGCACATGGGGGAGGGACTGACCGCTCTCCCCTGCACTGGGAGGGAGGGGCTCCCCTCCGGAGGCGCGTGGAACCAACCCTGGGCGTTCAAGGACAACAGGTTGGGACGCTCCCCCAGCCCCGTGCCCTGGTTGGTCCCCAGTCACTGTGTCCTTTGACCTGATGGGTTCAGCCTTGCTGGGAGCCCTGGGCCCAGTGGGCATACCCGCTCTGCAGCACTGACCCCCTAGGCCTGGCCACGGTGTGGATGGAGACCAGGGGACATGGGAGAAGGCAGCAGGACGCTTTCTGGAGCTGGGGAGGGGGAGGCAGGGTCCAGCTGGCCAGGCTTGCCGGTGCTAGGTGGGCTGTGTCCCTGGCATTTCCCTTGGAGCGCTCCTGGAACCTGTCCTCAGAGATCCAGCCTGTGTTCATCTGGGCCCAAGCAGAAGGGGACAGCGCCTGCCACCCTGCCCTAGACCACCCCTCCTGCACCAGTCCTTTTTTGTCAATGTATTTTTTAAAGATTTATTTCATTAATTTCAAAGAGAATTTTGCACCTGCTGCTCAGTGCTCAGATGCTGCAACGACAGGCTGCACAGGGGCCAGAACAGCAGGGGTCCCAGCATTTTGCTATCTTCTTGGCACCTCAGGGGTGCCCACAGGGACCTCAGCCCACAGGGACCTGCGCCTCCCTTCCCTCCCACTACCTGAGGAGTGAGCTTGGAGAGCTGTGGGCAGACCCCGAGCCTAGCAGCAGCCCTGCTGGGCCGGACTCAGGGAAACCAAGGCCAAGTTAGGGACAGCAGAGGGGGAGCGTGGCACTCCGAGCTGCGAGCAGGCGCGGCCAGGGGTGCCGGGCATCCCGGCCAGGGTCCCCCCACATCCGAGCTGCGAGCAGGCGCGGCCAGTCGTGCCGGGCATTCCCCCACGTCCGAGCTGCGAGCAGGCGCGGCCAGTCGTGCCGGGCATCCCGGCCAGGGTCCCCCCACGTCCCCAGGGTCCCCCCACGTCCGGCGCTCCGAGCTCGGCGCATGCGCACATCCTGCCCGGCCCCAGGCGCATGCGCACGCACCCTCGCTGACCATGGCGGCCGAGCGGCTCCCCAGCCGGCCGGCCTGTCTGCTGGTGGCCAGCGGCGCGGCGGAAGGTGAGGGCCGAGCGGCGGGCGGTGGCTGGTGCGGGCCGGGCCTGCTGCCGCGGTGACCTCCGGGGCCGCGCGCAGCGAGCCTCCCTTCCGCGTGTGCGCTCGGCAGCGCGCCCACCCGGGACCCTTCCTCCCGCAGGCGTGTCCGCCCAGTCCTTCCTCCACTGCTTCTCTCTGGCCAGCGCTGCCTTCAACCTGCAGGTGGCCACGCCGGGGGTGAGCTCGTCCGCCGCGGTCCCACGGCTGGGGGGTCTTCCCTGCTCGCCCGGGTGCCCCTGGCGGGGACTTGGGCTGCTCCTCGGTGTCCCCGGGAGGCGGGGGTGACCACCCGGGGTCCGGCCCTGCAGGGCAAAGCCGTGGACTTCGTGGACGTGTCCGAGAGCAACGCCCGCTGGGTGCAGGACTTCCGCCTCAAGGCCTACGCCAGCCCTGCCAAACTCGAGTCCATCGATGGTGGGTGGGGAACCCGCGACCCGGGGAAGGACCGGGCAGGGCGCGCGGGCCTCCGCCCTGGAGGCTGACCAGGGCCCGCGACCCTCCGCAGGAGCCAGGTACCACGCGCTGCTGATTCCCAGCTGTCCGGGGGCACTGGCCGACCTGGCCAGCAGCGGCTCCCTGGCCCGCATCCTGCAGCACTTCCAGGCCGAGGGCAGTGAGTGATCTGGGGCCCCACCTGGCGGGCAAGTGGGCGGGTGTGGCTGCCCGGGGGCCACTGTGGTGCCATGGTGCTGCCCAGGGCAGTGGGGTCTGGTCTAACTCTCCCACGGACCCGTGTGAAGGCAGAGTGGGCCTTTCAGTGTCCTGGCAGTTCAGCAGAACATGCACAGGTGTGAAGGTCCCCGGCCACCTGGCGCAGTCCCGTCTGCAGCCCACATGGGAAGGGAAGAGGGGCCATTCACACCTCCATCCTCAGCCGACCTGGGCCCGTCCAGGCTGGGGACCCACCCCCTCAGCCCCCACCGCCATTCCAGAGCCCATCTGTGCCGTGGGTGACGGTGTAGCGGCCCTGTGCTGCGCCACCAATGAGGACAGGTCCTGGGTGTTCCGCGGCTACAGCCTGACAGGGGTGAGGCCCTCCCCGTGCGCTCCCCCCTCCCTGTGGCCCGCCCTGGTGTGGGGGTTGGGGCTCCCCGGGTGGGAGTGGGCTGGGCAGGGCTCCAGCTCATTCCCTGTGCCCCAGCCCTCCGTGTATGAGCTTGTCAGGGTGCCTGGCTTCGCCCGCTTGCCACTCATTGTGGAGGACTTCGTGAAGGACGCAGGTGCTGGCTTCAGTGGTGAGCAGGGGACTAGGCTCAGAGGGGTACCTGCTGGCCAGGGACGGGCTCCAGGGGGGGCCACTTGCTGACAGGGGCACGTTCTGGGGGCACCTGCTGGCCAGGGACGGGCTCCAGGGGGGCCACTTGCTGACAGGGGCACGTTCTGGGGGCACCTGCTGGCCAGGGACGGGCTCCAGGGGGGCCACTTGCTGACAGGGGCATGTTCTGGGGGCACCTGCTGGCCAGGGATGGGCTCCAGCCTGAAGCCTGTCTCGCCCTGCAGCCAGTGAGCCTGGGGCTGTACATGTGGTGCTGGACCGCCACCTGGTCACCGGGCAGAATGCCAACTCCACTGTGCCCGCTGTGCAGATCCTGCTGCTGCTGTGTAACCGGTGAGCAACATGCAGAACCTGCAAGGCTCACGGGTGGGGCCCTGGGGTGGCCCTGAGCCCTGCCCTGAGTGTGCTGTCCCATAGGAAATGAGCAGAAGCGGCCAGAGGTGACCCACCTGGCCTAACACCCCTGTGTCAGGGCAGCCCCCGGAAGGGGCCCAGGGACCTGAGGTGAGCAGAAGCTTCCAGAAGCTGCAGCCCTGGCGTCTGGCTTCACATGTGAGAAGTCCACAGAGGTTGGCCGCGAGGGACTCGGAACGGGGACACTACTGCCCTGCCCTGCCCAGCCCCACGTGGAGCCCGAGACCTGTACTGCTGTATGCCCGAGCACCTGCAGTTCCCTGGGGCTGGGGCCGCCTCCCTGCTGAGGTTCAGGCCTGGTCCAGCCCGTCCAGAGGCCTAGCCCCTCATACCCCATTCCCCAACCAGGGGCACCCAGTACCGGTGACCTGGTGGGAGGCCCTTGGTGACTGTCCCGCTGTCCACCCAGGAAGAAGCAGCCCCCTGCTCCCATGTGCTCTCACACATCTGTGGACCCAGCCCCATTTAAAACACAAGAAAAATGAAAAAGCACAGACTAGAAGTGGTACTGTGCAGGCTCCTGAGAACAGGCAGGCTTCCTCGCGTGGGGGGCCCGTCCTGGCAGCGCATGAGGGCTGTGGTGGGGGCTACCTGAGGCAGAGGCCAGTGTCCAAGGCGGAGGACCTGCCTCAGTCGGAAGCCCCAGCTCAGTGGGTGAGGCCTCCCAACATGGCTATGGATACTCCTGCAGGCCCACTCATGGCAACAGGCACACTGGGACCTGTGTCACCAGCTGCGTCCACTGATGGGTCTTGGGACCACTTGGACAGAGCTGCTGCCAGGATGTGCGGGCGCATACCGAGCTGTCCCAGGAGGGCAGAGGGGGCACCCCAGCTGTGCCCTGTGCAGGCCGCCATCCACAAAGCCTGGCTGAAGAACTGCCTTCTGGCAGGAGTACCTCAGCAACGGCCTCATGGGGTGGGGGCTGCGGCCTGCTGGCCTTCCCGGGCCAGCCAGGGGCAGACCCGCTGGGCCCAAAGCATCTCCACCTGAACCTTCCCTCCCAGCAGCACATGGGAAGCACCAGGCCTGTGCAGGCAGGTGTTATCTGCAGAAGCCTGGACTTGGCATGTCCTTCCGACATGCTCTGGCACTGCGGGCCACCCCCAGGCCCACCCCCTCCTCTCCCAGGTCACTAGTACCCGGACCTGGGTCCTGTGGCCTGCAGAACGGCGGGGTGGGCACTGCTGCCCACTGGTTACCTGATGCCCTGGGGAGGGAGAGGGGGGAAGTGGGACAGCCCAGGAGAAGTGACTGCTTTACTGCACAAGGCAAAATTTACATAAAATCAGAAACCCATGATCCACCCCGCTCCACCTGCAAAGAAATGCGTGCCTCGTTCTGGGCCGTCCAGGGACCCTCAGGGCACGCCTCGGGCGCCTCACTTGCCATTCTCGGTGCCGAACATGAGTTCCTGGAGGGGAAGCAGGGTGAGTGAGGTCAGTGCACGTGTGTGCCCAGCCCTTGCCGCCAGCACCCACCCACCCTGCACCCTCAGCAGTGTGTTTATGTAAATGTGCGCGCAGCCCTTACCGCCAGCATCCGCTCCAGCTTGACGGCATCAGCAGCGAACTTGCGGATCCCGTCAGAGAGCTTCTCCACGGCCATCTGGTCCTCGTTGTGCAGCCAGCGGAAGGCGGCCTCGTCCAGGTGCAGCTTCTCCAGGTCACTGGCCTGGGCTGGGACACAGAACAGCCCTTGTACGCCTGCCCGCTGCCCCCAGGGCCTGGCTCCCGGGGGCCATGTCGGGCAGGGCCTCACCCGCCTTGGCTGAGAGCATGGGTGTCAGCTTGGTGGTGTCCTTGAGCAGCTCGGCCAGGAGCTTGGGTGCGATGGTCAGGAAGTCGCAGCCGGCTAACGCCTTGACCTCGCCCGTGTTGCGGAAGGAGGCGCCCATGACGATGGTCTTGTAGCCAAACTTCTTGTAGTAGTTGTAGATCCTGGTGACGCTCTGCACCCCTGTGGCACAGCCAGCCGGGGCCGGTTCAGGGTGGCTCTCCCCGGCCCCTCTCCCAGCCCGGGTCTTTCTCCACCCGGCTGCTCACCAGGGTCCTCCAGGGGCTCATAGGACTTCTTGTCTGTGTTGGCCACATGCCAGTCAAGGATGCGGCCCACAAACGGCGAGATGAGCGTGACGCCCGCCTCGGCACAGGCCACTGCCTGAGCGAAGGAGAAGAGCAGTGTCATGTTGCAGTGGATGCCGTGCTGCTCTTCCAGCTCCCTACGGGGAGGACAGGGACAGGGCCGGGTCAGTGCTGCGGTCCCTGTGGGGAGGACAGGGACAGGGCCGGGTCAGTGCTGGGGTCACTGTGGGGAGGACAGGGCCGGGTCAGTGCTGGGGTCCAGGGATAGGCGCTGTATACCCACGGCATGAGATCCGTAAACACTGGACAATGAGTGCCAGCCCACATACACACACACCACCAAGACCCAGTCTCCACTCATACCAGCAGGTGCTGTGGCCTGGGCAGAGTAACCCCTAACAACCTCTACCAGGCCTGCCCCCAGCCCTGGTTCTTCATGTGCTGGCATGTTCTGTAGCCTAGTCAGTCTGCCACATCGCATCTGGCTTTCATGCATGCCATGGGAGCTGCAGCGTAGTTCATCCCAACCTGCCCCCAGATCCAGCACACACATCAGCTGTCTGGCCCTGGCTCCAGCCCAGGCTCTCCTGCTTGCCAGTGGGAGCTGCAGTGTAGCAGGAGAGTGCCCGCAGTTCCCCTACCAGGCCCGCTCCTAGTCCCAGTAAAGGGGGACTTGCGCCTGTAAAGGGGGTGTTGTGGTCCAGGCTGACACTTGCCAGCAGAGTGGCACACAGGAGCATGACGGTCAGCTCATCTAAGTCAGGGCAGGGAACATCAAGTGCAGGGCAGGTTGGACTGCTGCCCTGGCCAAGCTTTGCACCAAGCTAGTGTATCTGTGGATAGGGGGCTTTGTCAACCAACACACCTTGGAAAGATTCTCTTAGCCCTACTAGGACCTAGGACGAAGCCGACAACCTCTCAGAACTATCAAAACCACTCAAGTAACACCCCTGGGACACTCTTCCCTACGAATTCCTCTGACAGGAGGGAGGGGTCTCTTCCCCATCCCCCTCGCATGTGAAACGTGTCCCACCCACCTTCCTCCACACGTGACCCTCCCCACCCACTTAGAGGCTCACAAGGGTGTGGAACCCTCAATTATGTAAACAGTGTTAAAATAAACTAAAGGGTGTGGCAGTAGCACCCTACAAGAGCACCAATCTAGCCCACCCACGTGGGTGACTAGAGGGGTGCCCTGGCTTTGGCCCTCTGGGGCCTGAGCTGGGAGATGAAGCAGCATGCACCCAGGGCACTCACTTTCCCGCCTGGATGCCCTCCCAGGTGGAGGACAGCTTGATGAGAATCCGCTCCTTGCTGACTCCAGCTTCCTTGTAGAGCTCGATGAGGCGCCTGGCCCGGGCCACCATGGCAGCCTTGTCAAAGGAGAGCCTGGGGCGGAGGAGAGAGTCAGCAAGGCCTTCTGGGGAAGGGTCAGGGGTCAGCAGGGCCCAGGGAGGGAAGGGATGGGGACACCGGGTGCCACCCTGAGAGGTACAAATCCCTTCTCAGGCAGCTGAAAACCAGCCCTCAGGATACAGTGCCCTCCTGGGTCCTGTGGCCACTCGGTCCTGCCAGTGCTCCTGATAACCGGTCCTGGCCTGCTGCTGATCCGCCACGAGGCAGTCACGGCTCGACCTCCACTCCTCAGCCAGGCAGAAGTGTGCCTCTTGCCAGAAAGGCACTCACCTTGCGTCTACTTCTGTGGACACTCGGCCTGGAATCTTCTTCAGGATCTCAACGCCGAACAGCACAAAGAGCTTGTCCATGGCATTTCTCAGCTGCTGCTCTTGTGAACTGCAACCAAGAGGGAAGAGAGACTAAAAGGAATTCAAACCCACGGGACAGCTCTGTGAGCCCTTAAGACAGCGAGCAGGGCAGGCACTGCAGAGCCCGGCTGTGGGCGGTGCCCAGGGAGGCAGATGCTGGCCCGAGGCCACCGGGAGCTGTGGGCTCCTGGCTTCAGCCTGGCCCATCAAGAGCTAGACTGGATGGGCGCCAACTCGGCACCTTCATGGCCTGACAGGCAGAGGGTGCTCAGTGGAAGTTCCCTCAAGAGTCAGGCAGGGCCCTGGGGAGCCCTCAGGGCAGAAAGAGCCTGGCCCCAGGGGGAGCCCTGGCATAGACTGGCATGAGCACGCACATACCCCCAGGGCCTGGCCCACACTCAGCTGTCCAGCTCTTACAGGAACACACACACATCAGTTGGCCTGGCTTGCACTCACCCGCCCAGCTTCTTGCCATAGGCCACGGCCTCCTGCACCAGCTCCTGGTAGGCGGGCATCTGTGCTGCGGCCAGGATCAGCGAGGGGTTGGTGGTGGCATCCTGAGGCTTATACTCCTCGATGGCTGCAAACAGGACAGACAGACGGGGTCAGCTGGGACGGCAGTGAGCCGTCATGGACACCACATGGACACCACGTCTCCAAGCTGACCTCAGTGCACAGGCCTGGCCAGGGCAGCTGGAGCAGTGCCCACTGGTGCAAAGCTGTCACACCGCAGGCCACAGACTACATTCCTGGGTGAGGAACCGATGCTGGGCCTGGCTGTGCCAAGCAGGCCCAGGGGCCCCAAGTCGAGAGCCAGCTTCAGACCCGGAAGTTCCTGCTTGTGGCCTGCAAAAGCAGTGCAGGCTGTCCTGGGCCCCAGTCCCCACGCAGGGAGCAGAGGGACGCTTCTGGCTCCTGGCCCAGCCCTGCCCGCTGAGGCCACTGCCCTCTCACATCTAGGATGAACAGGCGAGTGTTCTAGAAAGTCAGTTGGGGCAGAAAGAGCATTTAAGAGTGTCTATGAATCAGGAGCAGCCCCCATGGTGCCACCAAGCCCTGGCTGGCAGAGCAGACCCCAGCTCGAACACACCCATGGTGCCACCAGGGCCTGGCTGGCAGAGCAGACCCAGCTCAGACACACCCATGGTGCCACCAAGCCCTGGCTGGCAGAGCAAACCCCAGCTTGAACACCCCCGTGGTGCCACCAAGCCCTGGCTGGCAGAGCAAACCCCAGCTTGAACACCCCCGTGGTGCCACCAAGCCCTGGCTGGCAGAGCAGATCCCAGCTCAAACACACCGGCTGAGGTGACCCCTCCCCAGTTGGTTGGTTGGTTTATTTTCAAAGACCTATTATTTATTTGAAGGGCAAAGTTAGTAAGAAGGAAGAAAGGTCTTCCATCTGCTGGTCCACTCTCCCAACAGGCACTTCAGGGCTGGGCCAGGTGGAAGCCAGGAACTTCTTCAGGTCTCCCACGTGGGCCGTCCCTGGCTGCATTCCCAGGCCACAAGCAGAGAGCTGGATGGGAAGGGGGCAGCCGGGACAGGAACCGGCACTAAACTGGGTGGGGACAGGCGGAGATCTGGCCATCAGTGCCACGACGTGCCTGTCCTCCACAGGTCTTCCTGTGTGCCCTTCCCCCAGGCCTGGGACAGGTTCTCAGGGCTTGGTGTGCCAGCTGGAACACGCGGGAAATGGTGACAGGGTGGCTTTTCCAACTCAGCAAGAGTCAGCAGGGACAATGGCTGAGCCTCAGGATGCAGCACCCCCACCCCTGGAGGCAGAGCTGGAAGAGCCCCCGAGGACGGTCAGTGCTTCTAGCAGCCCAGGGCTCTTACTGGAATATTCTCCAAAGCTTGCATTTCCCCTGACAGGCAGATGGCCCACGTGCCCATGCTGGGGTCCCCAGAGGGACTCACATCCAGCATGCTGGAGCTGTGAGGCCCGCCCAGGCACCCACACTGCACCAGCCAGCTATCTTCGAGGCGTAATCTGCCTAATCGCTCTGGGCCAGATAAACAGCCTCCTCCAGCCACAGGCTCTTTCTCAAGTCACCGTGAGAAAGCAGAAATGCAGGCAGCCACTTCCTCGTCAGGCGCCCACACCCCCTGCCTCGGGACCGACCTGGGAGCGGCCCCTCCTCCACCCTGCACCCCGACTTCTCCCTCGGGGTCACTCAGCCACCCAGCCAGAGGGGTGACCCCCGGGGCAGGGGCTGCAGGGCCACCAAGAGCTGCAAAGACAGGGTGTCACGGCTGCCTCTGTGCTGCCCCCTGACCCTGCCTGCTGCCCCCTGTTCCTGCCTGCTGACCCCGATCCCTACCTGCTGACCCTGACCCTGTCCCTGCCTACTCTCCCCTGCCTGCTGCCCCGACCCCTGACCCTGCCTGCTGAGCCCTGCCTGCCGCCCCGACCCCTGACCCTGCCTGCTGGCCCCTGCCTGCCGCCCCCTGTCCCTGCCTGCTGACCCCTGTCCCTGCCTGCTGACCCCGACCCCTGCCTGCTGACCCCGACGCCTGACCTCGGACCCTGGCCGCCGCCCCCCTCGGTGCCTAGGGACCCCGGCTCCGCTTCCTTCCGGGCCCGGCGTGGCGCGCTCCGTGGCGGCCTCACCGTGGAAGTCGCCCGTGTCGGCCACCACGGTAGTGAACTGCTTGAGCTGCTCCAGCGCGGACTCCACGCGCTGACGCTTCACCGGGGAGCCCGACATGGCGGCGGCTGCGACGGCGGCGGCGGCGGTGGCGGCGGGAGGAAGACCGAGTGCACTGGCCCACAATGCCCCGCGCCGCCGGCCAATCGCAGCGCGGAGCGGGAGGGAGGAGCGCGAAGCCCCGCCCTGGTGGTGTAGTTCCGCCCCTGGTGTCAGAGCTCCCCCTTGGAAGAGGAACCCCGCCCCTAAAGACAGAGCTCCGCCCCTGGAGACAGAGTTCCGCCCTTGGAGATAGAGCTCCGCCCCTGGAGACAGAGCTCCGCCCTTGGAGATAGAGCCCCGCCCCTGGATATCGAGTCCCGCCCCCTGGAGACAGAGCCCCGCCCTTGGGGGGGTCAAATACCACCCCTGGAGACAGAACTCCGCCCTTGGAGATAGAACCCGCCCCCTGGAGACAGAGCCCCGCCCCTGGAGACAGAGCCCCGCCCCTGGAGATCGAACCCCGCCCCACGGCGCCCTGGGGTGCAAGGTGCACCGCGATGCGTGAGTCAAGGCCGGAGGGCCCGGCTGCTGCAGCACCAAAACCCAGCTCCACCGGCTCCCTGCTGATGCACCAGAACGCAGCGAGCATGGAGCAGGTGCTTGGACCTGCACCCACAGGGACCCCGAGGGAGCTCTTGGCTTCAGCCTGGCCCAGCCCTGCCTCTGCAGCCATTTGGGGAGTGGAATAGCACTCACTCTCTTCCTTTGAAATGCTTTCAAATTAAAAAAATGCATGTTTAAATATTTTTTTAAAGAGCGGTGAGAGCAGCATTGTCACCAGCCCCAGTGGACTCCCATGTGTGCGGGCACCCACTGCAGGGCCTGGGTCACCTTGCATGCGGGGTTCTCCCAGGTCCACGGCACCTACCACCCAGGGTGCCCCTGCCAGCAACTGCAGACACCACAAAGCAGCAGCCTTTTTTTTTTTCCACTTTTTAAAAAAGCATCTGTTTATTTTATTTGAAATGCTGAATGACAGAGAAAGGAGAGAGAGAGAAAGGTCTTCCACGTGCTGGTTCACTTCCCGGGTAGCTGTGATGGCCAGGGATGGTCCAGGCTGAATTTGGGGACTCTGTAGTGGGTGCAGGGACCCTCCCAGCCGGCAAGCTGAGCGGCAGATGGGTGGGATGCATAACACGCAGGCGCCCACTCCTCTCCCCAGCGACTACTCGGGTGTGGTGGGTTCCAGCCAGCTGCACTGGCCAGTTCCCCAGGACCCCAGATGTGGACAGCCAGTCCTTGGTCTTGACTGAGCCTGGCGCTGGCCCGGGCTGCAGGCAGCTCCACCCTGCAGGCAGTGGCCGCAGCTTCCAGGAACTGGCCAGGCCGGACAGGGCTGGCTGCAGGAGGCAGGGGAGGTACCCGTGGTAGCACCTAACTTCCGGCTGCTGCTTGGGACAGGGGAGGGCTGTGGTGCTGGCAGGAGCCACGACTGAGGGGGCCCATGGCCAGCTCTGACCCAGCTTGTGGCTGATCAGCAGCACCTGTGGCCTGCCCTTGGCTAGTCAGGGATGGTCCGTACCCCGGGAATGCTCATGGTGCCCAGGTGGGCTTCCCTCCGTGGGGGAGGGTGTTACCTCTGACCTGCAGGTTCCCTTAACAAAGCCCCTTACATGGACCAAAACCTAAGGGCGATACTGTGTGGGTCTGCCCCTCTGCTTCTGGTGGCCTCCTGGGGGACAAGCACAAGAGGGGCAAGGTACCTCTGCCTAGAAGAGCAGCAGAGGCTGGCCCAAGTGCTGGGACCCTGCACCTGCGTGGGAAACCCAGGCCATCTCTGTTACTCTGTAATTCTGCTTTTCAAATAAAAACACATACATACATGCAAGATAAAATATAATCCCCTGGGCCCAAGAACTGGGCTTCTCCTCATGACCGCCTGGCCACACCGCATGCCACAGGGTCTCCCCATCTGAGTGAGTGCACCGCAGCTGTCCCAGCTGCACAGGTGGTCAGACTGGACAGTGGGCACCGTGGGGCAGCACCTGGGGGGCTGAGCTAACCGCCTCCCGAAAGGGCTGCTGCCCCAGCCTCGTGCGATGAGTACTCTCCAGTGCCTGCCACCCCCATCGTCCACCACATGCCTATTTACAATGTTTGTTTTGCAAGCCAGAGCTCCACAGAATGGAGAGACAGATCTCCCATCTGCTGGTTCACTCCCCAAATGGCCACAACAGCCAGAGCTGAGCCGATCCGAAGGCAGGAGCCAGGAGTCTCTTCCAGGTCTCCCATGTGGGTGCAGTGTCCCAAGGCTTTGGCCCTTCTTCCACTGCTTTCCCAGGCCACAGGCAGGGAGCTGGATGGGAAGTGGGGCAGCCAGGACTAGCATCTGGTGCCCACACGGGATGCCCATCAGTGCTACAGGCACACATGCACACATACACCCCTGTGCTGTGCCAGACACATGTCTACCCCCACCCCGCTCCTTCCAGTGGACCAGTTGGCTGTGAGGTTCCAGGCAGCTCACCCGACCCCTGCTTCCTTCCATGGAGTGGGTGGCCGGACCTCACACGGAGGGAGTGTATCGGCCACTTCTTCCCAGGATGCCCAAGGACACCTGGCCACCATGTGCCCTCACCCCTGTCCACTGCTTGGTTAGCTACACGGCCTAAGACCATGCCCCACTTCCTGCAGCAACCAGGTGTGACAGGCGTGGGTGCAGGCAGCCACGGCCAGCCAATGACAGCCACAGACATACTTATTCCCAGCAGAGAGGCCTTGTCCAGCTCCGGCCACCACCACCACTCCTCCACACCCTGCCCGAGCTCTGGGGCTAACAGTTCAAGCCTCAAGTGGACACTGCCCTCCCCCAGGCCCCAGGGTGGGCCTGCTGCCAGTGAGCAGCTGAGGACAGTCACCCTGGGGCTTCCAGCAGGTGGCCACAGGCCAAGGGGGAGCTGCCTGCTGTCACCTGAGCTACAGGCCCTGGGTGCCCCCACCTGCGGTGGATGCTGTGGCAGCCCCTACACCCAGCCAGGGAGGCCTGGATGGACAATTCTCTGGGAGGGACTGAGGTGGAGCGGAGCCAGGCTGCCAAGGACCGAGGTCTGGCTGTCCACCATCCGGGAAGTGGTGACCTGGGCCGGGACAGAGCCCAGGAGCACCCGCTGGGGAAGCAGCTGGAGGTTTTGGGCTAGCGGAGGCAGGGTGCTGGACGGACCCTGGGTAGGTGGAGCACTGGCCACCCCACTGGGATGCCCGCAGCTTGCAGAGCATCAGCAGGGGGCGCCAACAGCCTCCTCCACGGAGGGCAGGATGAGGTTGCAGTTGGGGTCAGGGTTATCAAGGATTAGAGTTGAGGTTGGAGTTCCGGCTGGGGAGACAACTCGACACCTTCCCACGCTTCCCGCCTGACTCGCACCCCCATGGGAGACACACGTGGCTGCTGGGAGACTAGGTTTAATGGCAGGGAAGGGATGGAGAAGGGGAGACCACAGGCAGGAGGCTTGAAGCTTCATACCCAGGTCGGGTCTGCGAGTGGGTGTGGGCAGCCCCCCTCATGTCCACTCCATCCTGATCCTTGAAGGCCTGTCTCCAAGCCCCTGTCCAGGCTGCCCCTGGGGGATGAAGGGGTGGCCTGGCGCGCAGTGGACAAGGGAGAGGCAGGCAGAGCCCCAGCTCCCGGGGCTCCGTGGCCTGCAGTGAGGTGCTGCTCCCTCGGCTGCAGCAGCTTCGGCCGAGGTCAGCCGGGGGTGGGCTGGGGCAGGAAGAGGGGCACAGGTGCGGGGTCCCACCCTGTGCCGCCCCCGTCCGCTCCTGGCACAGGCAGCCCCGCAGGTGCGGCCCCGCAGGTGCGCGCTGGCTCTAGGGGTCCCCTCGCCTCTGGAACCTGCTCATGAGCTCCTCCAGCTCCGACCCGGTCTGTTGCTTCTGCGGAGGACACAGCGGAGTTCTGGGCATGGGGGTCCCCCGCGTCAGGGCCCCGGGGGCGGGGGCCGCGGGGTGGGTGCTCACCTCCAGCACGGCCTTCTGCACAGAGAGCTGGCTGTACACGCGTGCGCCCTCCTCCCCGCACACCTTCCTTAGCTCGTCCTTGTTGAGCGAGAAGAGCTGCGGGCCGGTCAGGATGCCCAGGTGCTCGACGACGCTGCGGGCGGCCAGGCGTGAGCGCGGGAGCAGGGCGGCCCCGCAGCAGCTGCCGCCTGCTGCCCGCGCCCCGGGCCGCTCACCGGGCGCTGAAGGCCTTTGCTTCCAGCCAGGCGCGGACCTGGTCGGGGCCGGACTCGAAGGAGAGCGGCGCGCTCACGGGCGGGCTGCGCTCCACGCGCACGTGGCGCTGCGGCTGCGCGCGGATGTTGCTGATCTTGCGGGCCAGCTCGTCGTTGACCTCGTCCATGTGTTGGATGAGCTCTGCGGGGCAGCAGGGTCAGCGCCGCCGCCTGCCCGTCCGCCCTCCCGCCCGCCTTCCCGCCTCGTGGCCTCTCACCGTCTTTGTCGCCTGCGAAGCTGGGGGGCAGCTTGTGCGTCGGGCTAGTGGGGCCCCAGTATTTCTGACCGGCCTGCGAGAGGACGGGGTGAGCGGTGGTCAGGTTGCGGTGCCCGCCCGCCCGGGAGACCCCCGCACGGCGCTGGGGGCTCAGCCGCTCACCTGCTCGGGCGGGCCGGCGGCGTCCTCGGGCCGGGCCTCGTCCAGGATGTTACAGGGCACGTAGCCGGCCTGGCCACTGCGGCTGCGGAGCTTCCACCACTGCCGGCCATCCTCCAGCACCTGCGGGTGGCCCGCGTGAGCCCGCGCTCGCAGCCCACACGGCTTCTGCGGGGCCCTTGGCGGTGGCTAGGCCCTCGGCCCCGCAGGGCGAGGGGACTCCAGGGTCCCCGTTGGCGACAGCGACCGCCCAGCCCGGCTGCAGCGCAGGAGTGGGGATGTGGGATTGAGAAGCCCCCCTGCAGCCCCCCGGGTCTCCAGGACGCCGCCCGGCCGTGCAGCCCCTCCCCCGCACCGCCTCACCTCCAGGACCTCGCCCCGGAGCACCGACAGCTCGTTGGCGTTCCGCGCCGTGAAGTCGTAGAGGACGCGGACGTACTTGGCCATGGCCGGGGCGCCCGGGTAGCCCCTGCGTGGGACACGAGGCTCTCAGCCTGGGGCAGCACCGTCCCCCCGGCTGCAGGCTGCGGTCACAGCGGAGCGAGGCCAGCTCGGCGCCGGCTCGGGAACGGGAACTGTGCCGGCCCCAGAGCGCCGGCGGAGGTGGGGCGCACGCGGTGCAGGTGCAGGGGCTGAGGCGGGCGGGGCGGCCCGCGCAGGCGCGGCAGGGGCCTGCACCACGGAGGGCTCTGCCCTGCCGGGACCCCCGAGCTAGGACCTGCGCCCCGGGGGGATGCCAGACCCTGCTCTGGACCCCAGCGCCGTCAGCTCTGTTAACCATCCCTCTGGGAGGGCCACCTGCCCCGGGTGACCCGACCACAGCAGGGCAGGGGCGTGGGGAGCTGCCTCTCCAAGCAGCTTCCACAGCTGCCCATCCTCACCTGGTGGCAGGTACCCACAGGAGAGCGAGGGCTTACCTGTGACCCTGTGTGGGGCCCGGGGGCAGGGCGTCACCGGGGGGCGTGCTCTCAGCGGCCACGGCGGGCTTCACCGAGTTTCGGAAGGACTGCCGGTTCCCGGGGGCCAGCTGTGGGCAGAGGGGGAGCGTGGGAGCCTGCCCCACGAGGACTCGGGACAGGGACGGCGGGCGCAGGGCAGCGTCCAGCCACAGCAGGTCTGACCTCGTCCGCGGGAGCGCCCAGTCCCTCCACCTCCCAGGGCGCCTCCTGCAGCACGTCCAGGGGGGGCTCCCAGCCGCTGTGGAACCTGGGCACGTAGGGGGGCACCTGCGGCTCCCGCGGCCACTCGGCGCTGAGAGGAAGAGGAAAGTCGGGGTTCAGCTGTGGACCCCATCCCCCACCCAGCACCCTTACCCTATATGCAGCCCTTCAGCACCCCTGTCACCCCCAGGACCCCTGTCACCCCCAGGACCCCCAGCTCCCTATGCAGCCTTCCAGGACCCCTGTCACCCCCAGGACCCCCAGCTCCCTAGGTGGTCCTCCCCGACCCCTGTCACCCCCAGGACCCCCAGCTCTCTGTGCAAACCTCCAGGACCCCTGTCACCCCCATACCGCGGCCGTGTCCACGTCTCCCCCATGGACTCCCACAGCGCCATCTCCTTGGGCACCAGGTGGCCGCGCAGGAAGCTCACGGCCTCGCGGGACAGCAGGGGGCTGGAGACGCTGCGGGCGATGTCGGGTCCCCCGCACGTGTTCACGATCTGCACTCGGTGGTGGGGGAGGGGTGAGCGGCCCCAGCCCTAGAGCCCCGCCCCCTGGAGCAGAGCCCGCCCACGCAGCAGCCCCGCCCCATCCAGTGCTCAGGGCCCTGGGGCTCCGCCCCACCGTGAAGCCCCGCCCCAGCATCCCTGCCCCACCGTGGAGCCCTGCTGCAACAGCCCCGCCCCACCGTGGAGCCCCGCCCCACCGTGAAGTCCCGCCCCCTGCAGCCCCGCCCCGCACCAGGTCCAGAGGGCCGAACAGGAAGTGCACAAGCTCCGCCGCGCTTGGGTTCTGGATGTGCTTCTGCAGCTTGGCCTGGGGGCAGGTGAGGGGGCGGGGTCGGCGGAGGGGCGGGGCAGAGGGCATGCGGGGGCGGAGCAGAGGGCAAGGCCAGGGTGGGCATGCTGGGGGCAGGGACAGGGCGGGGCCGTGGGTGGGGCCGGGGCGGGGCCGTGGGCGAGGGCAGGGCTGGGGCGGGGACGGGGCGGGGCCTGCGGGGCACCGCCCTCACCAGCAGGTTGATGGCCAGCTTGGTCTTCTGGAAGCAATCGACAAACTCAGCCTCGGACGGAGGCCGCGCCCGCAGCGTGAGGACGCCCTCTGCGTGGGGGGATCGTGACCGTGAGGTGCCAGCTCAAGGGCCCAACCGGGCACCCTCCCACCTGCCCCATGCCCCGCCCACCTGCCCCACCCCTCCCACCTACTCCATGCCCCGCCCACCTGCCCCTCTCAGCTCCCACCTGCCCCACTCCCCTCCCATCTGCCCCACCCCTCCCACCTGCCCCACGCCCCGCCCACCTGCCCCTCTCAGCTCCCACCTGCCCCACTCCCCTCCCATCTGCCCCACCCCTCCCACCTGCCCCACCCCCTCTCACCTGCCCCACACCCCCGCCCACCTGCCCCTCTCAGCTCCCACCTGCCCCACTCCCCTCCCATCTGCCCCACCCCGCCCACCTGCCCCACGCCCCGCTCACCTGCCGGTCCACGCCGCCCCTTCTTCTTTCCCTTCTTGCGCTGGTTCAGCTGCTTGAAGGCCTCCGCCGCCTTCTGCAGCCGCGCCACGAACCACTCAATGTCGTCCAGGGCGCAGTTGAGGATTTGCTGCGACGGGACGGGAGGGGAGGGCAGGGTCAGTCTCCGCGAGGAGCACGGACAGCCCCTCGGCCAGGGGCAGTGCAGGTCCGGCCGGCACCCACCGTCTCCTTCTCGATCTTCTGGGCCAGCACGGCCCGCGGTTCCTCGTCCGGCGACTCCTGGTGGCGGAATCCTGCTAGGGACAGAGTAACTGCCAAACCGGACTGGCCAGGGCGCCGCGCTGCCCCCCATGCACCTGCCCCTACGCGCTGCCCCCCATGCGCTGCCCCGCATGCACCTGCCCCCACGCGCTGCCCCCCATGTGCTGCCCCGCATGCACCTGTCCCCACGCGCTGCCCCCATGCGCTGCCCCACAAAGACCTCCCCTACGCGCTGCCCCCCATGCGCAGCCCACAAAGACCTGCCCCCCCCCACGCTGCCCCCCATGCGCAGCCCACAAAGACCTGCCCCCCCGCGCTGCCCCCCATGCGCAGCCCACAAAGACCTGTCCCCACGCGCTGCCCTCCATTCGCCTGCCCCCACGCGCTGCCCCCCATGCGCAGCCCCACAAAGACCTCCCGTATGCGCTGCCCCCCCTGCACCTGTCCCCACGCGCTGCCCCCATGCGCTGCCCCCCATGCGCAGCCCCACAAAGATCTGCCCCCACGCGCTGCCCCCCATGCGCTGCCCCCCATGCGCCTGCCCCCATGCGCTGCCCCCCATGCGCAGTCCACAAAGACCTGTCCCCACGCGCTGCTCCCCATGCACCTACCCTCACGCGGTGCCCCCACACACACCTGCCTCACATGCTGCCCACACACACAGCCCCACAAAGACCTGCCCCCACCCACTGCACCCCACGGGCTGCCCCCCACACTGACTCCCACGTGCCTGCCCCGCAGCCCACCTGGCTCTCCCGGAGGCAGCCAGGGCCCCACACGGTTCCGGGCCTGGGGGGAGTCACCGCTGAGGCGTTGGAAAGGGATGGGGGCCGGGCCTTGAGGGGGCGGCAGGATGGACTGTCGCTGCCGGATCTTCTCCTGGTGGCCCCTGGCAGGAGAGGAGGGCGCGCTTAGCAGGGCTGAAGCCGGGAGGAGGCCGCACTGAGCCGGGAGGGTCGGTGCCCACGCACCCCGGCCGTGTGCCCCCCTACTTGAGCGTCTGTGGCCGCGTCTTCTTGCCCAGCCGGCAGTCGGCCAGCGCGCTCTCGATGTCCTCATGGATGAGCTCCGCCTACGAGCACGGGTGGTCAGCCTGGGGCACAAGGAGCACGCGGGAGTGGGGGCCGCCTCGTCCAGCCCCACCTCACCTCCACCTCGTCGCAGTGGAAGAAGTGCACGTCGGGCTTGTGCTGCTCCGAGTCCTGGCACACCAGCAGCAGGACGGACTGATACCGCAGCTGGTTCAGCACCGTCTGGCTCAGCTGCACCGTGGGCAGCGGGAAGTTCTCCAGCTCCTCCTGCAGCCGGGGGCAGGGCTCGCACACCAGGGACCCAAAGCTCGCACACCAGGGACCCAAGGCTCACATGCCAGAGACCCTCAGCCCCAGGCTCGCACGCCAGGGGTCCCCTTCCCCACTCCATCGCATGCAGCACGGTACCTGGGACTCGATGTCCAGGAGCCGCAGGCACCGGTCGTCCACCTGCAGCAACATCTCCTGTGTCCAGATCTTCTCCTTGGAGCTCAGCTGCACCAGCTTGCGGATGGCATCATCCACGGTGGTGATGGCCTCGCTCTTGTCCATGATGAATGTGGCCAGGTGCTGGGTGGGGGAGGGAGTCACCGTGAGGCCTTCCTGTGCAGACGTCCCCTCCTCAGATGTGCGATGGGGGTGTCCATTCTGCCTTGTGGCCACCAGGTGACCTGAGGCCAGGCCGGGACGGACCATGTCCCAGTGGCCACAGCCTCCACCGTGTCCCTGGCCCCACACTAGACTCCTGGTGACTTTGGCCTTCAGGCACTGTCCCTGCCCTTCCAGCGTCTCTCCATAGCCCTGGAGCTGCACGGTGGCTGCCTGGGGCTGGGCTCTGCACGCTGGTCTGTCCCATCACCCAGGGAGAACAGCGGGGGTCCTGGGCCAGCCCACCCCTTCTCTATTAACTGCCTGCCACATGTCCACCAGATGTCGTGGGGCCGGAGCGGGCAGCCAGTAGAGCCAGCTCCTGCACCTGGTCACTGAACCATGGGAACCCAGGAGGAAGCCCTCATGATTGCTGGCGATTTGTCACCAAAAACAAAGTCCACACACAAGAGAAAAGACAGATAAGCCCGAAAACCTGGCTAAAACAAACTGCATTTCAGAGCACACACACATCCGAGTCAGGGGTCCTGCAGTGGACAGATGCAGGCAGCAGAGGCCAGGGCAGTGGCAGCATCCCAGGCACAGCCAGCGAGTGCCCCAGCAGGAGCTGGTACGAGCTTGAGCAAGGGGGCCAGCAATTCAGAAGATAAGAAGGTGGCAGTGCCCGCGGCTCCTTGGAGAGAGCGGTGATCCTGCCCTCTGGCCTATTCCACTAAGCAATATGGACAGCCCTGGGGTCACACCTGTGGGCTGATAGGGGGCTTGGGTGCCCCACTCAGCGCCCAGCCAGCCTTCGAGGGATGTACATGTAAGGATGTACATGTCCCTGCCATTTTCTAGCACAGGTCAGAGGTCACAGGTCATAGGTGCAGAGCTGCTGTCATGGCCAGGACAGGTGGTCTGGGGGGCCAAGCAGAGTGCACAGTGAGCACTGTGCCACTTGCTGGACAGCCCCGGGCTGGATAGTGTGCCTGGCGAATGCCCAGGAGGCTGCCAGGACAGGAAGACCCCAATGGTGCCCATCTTGACCGAGCTGGGCACCTTGGGAAGTGGGCGGGGATGCGTGCCTGCTCTCTGTTCACAGATGATTTGAGAAAGCCAGAGGGGGCAGCAGCTCAGGCCTTAGAGGCACAAAAGCCAACTGGAACTTGAATCCCTGCTGCCTGACACCGCACCCCCCGACACCCCTGCCAGCCCATGGCCCCGGTGGCTTGGGCACCCCAAAGACAACCCCGGCCAGGACCTGCCCCTCGATGCGGTAAGAGCACGGTAATCCAGTGCCAGCCCAGAACTGAGAGCCGGCCCGGTACACCAGGCAGCCCATGTGCATGACAGGCTGGCCTGGAGCCCCATGCCGGCCAGCACCACATCACCCAGCAGCTCCATGCCAGCCAGCGCCCCACACTGGTCTGCAACCCCATACTGCCAGCCTGCAGCCCCGCGCCTGCCAGCACCATGCCACCTTGCCTTGGGTTTGGCCCCAGGTGGCCCAGAGCAGGCCCCCGGGCGTCACCTTGTCCTAAGCAGCCTGCTGGGCTCTGCTCCCCCTCAAGGGGACCAATAGAAGTCCTGTCCCCTGCCCTTTGAAGCAGCTCCCTGCCGAGGCACACGGGCAGGCGCTTTGAGGGGACAGAAGTGGGGACAAGGCCTGAACGTGGCACTGCCCAGCGGGCACTGAATAGGGAATCCTCACTGGCGGTGTTGCATCCCACGTGGAGCCATCTTGCTCCCTGAGGGCTGCCTGCACAGGAGACCTGACCACTCCCAGGCTCGGCCTGCTCCGGCCTCCGCAGGCAGACAGAGTGACCAGCACGCTGGAACTCTGCTGTCAGGGTGCTGGTGGAGGCAGGTTCCTGCCTCTGGCTGACACGCAGGGCCTCGGGATCACATGGTACTGGCCTGGGTTTCCTCCGCACGGTGGGGAGGGAAAACCCCACAGGCTTTCCACTCCTGCTGGCCCCTGGGAGGGAGGAAAGGCCCCGGAGGAGCCGGCCAGTGTGGAGCAAAGTCCAGGCACTCCTGGGCGGCTCCTCCACATCGAGGCCAGAGTACCTGCACAAGGGCCAGAGCTGCCGGGAAGGATGGACGCCCCGTGCCCTGCCCATGCCCAGCGTCGGCGCCATCACCTGTCTGGCCACACCAAGAGGCCTTGGGTCCATTCCACAGAGCGGGAAACCAAGGCTTGGCGAGTGAGACTATCCCTGGGGTATCACACCCCGCCATGCCTGCCCTGCCTTCCAGGCACAGCAGCAAGAGCCAGAGCCCCCACGCGGGAAGGCTGCTGAAATCCCCTGTGTCCTGGGACAGCCACTGGAGAGCTGCACCCCACTTCAGACCTGCCGCTCCCCCGCACCTTGAATTCAGACCCCGGCTACTGGCTGAGCCCCGCCCCCCCGTGTGAGAGCTGGGCGCAGCCAGGGCCTCACCTGCACGTGGTACTGCGATGTCTCCTGCATGATCACGGTGGAGTTGGAGTATTTCTTCCTCTGCTCTGGACGTGGAGGACACACTCAGCCCAGGAGCCCCAGCCCTGGTCCAGTGGGGCTCCTAGGGGCTGGCTGGGTCAGTATCCCAGCCGAGGCCTCCCCCCACATCCCCGCTCCCCAGCTGCCAGCTCAGCTCTGCCCACCCTCTACTTTCCAGCCAGACCAGAGGCACCAGTGGGGGTGTGGTGGGCTGGGTGGGGATGCGGGAGGCAGGGCTGGGGGAGTCGGCCAGCACTCCCCCAGACACCTGGCAGCAGGGCTGCCTGCGATCAGGTTGCGGGAGGAACTGGGTAGTATTGATGCTCCCTGAATTATTCGTGAGGCCTGCTCCCCTTACGGCTGGGGCTGGGGGAGGGGCAACTCGCAACTCCCAGCAGTGCGGGTCGGTGGGGCGGCCCTTCGGTCCACTCACCAAACAGGTCCTTGGCGCTCATTTTGGCCATTCCATCCGATCGTCCCAGGCTGCCACTGTGGGGTTGGGGTGAAGGGGGATGGCAGGTAAGGATGGAGCTGGGCCCCTCCCCCTCCCGGGCCCTGTGGTGGGCTGGAGGGGTGGCTCACTTGGTGGCACCCGGGCAGCAGCTCACAGACCCTGAGTGGCTCATGATGTCCTACAACCCGCAGGCGGCGGGGTGGTGGTTGACCTCAGGCTGTCCGAGTCAGGAGTCCAGGGCCTGGCCTACACCTGTGTGGACAGAGGCACCACAGGGATCCTTCCCAGCCTGGGGATGGCCAGACTCACAGGGCAGCCCAGGTGGGGCCTGTGGCCAGGATGGGCAAGAACCCTGCCACTGTCCGAGTGGCCCCCTGCTAGCAGGCCCCCCCCACCCCCAGGTCTCAGTCCCCAGCCCCGGCCTCTCCTTGACTATATTTTCGGGAAGCTGAGGAACAAGAGCTGAGCCCTTCGCTAGTGCTCCCGGGCAGGATGGCGGATTCTAGCTGTCCAGTGTCCCATAGGTCCTGTGGCTGGACCTCGCAGACCTTCAGGCTTGGGGCCCACAGCATTGCTCCCTGCCTACTGGCAGCCCGGCCTCTGCTCCTGCTTGGCCATTATGTGGGGTGCTGTCTAGGGGGTTCTGCCTGGTGAGAGCCTCCTAGGGACAACGAAGGGGGCGTCCCCAGCATCTGGGCTGGCGCTGGGGGCTTGGCCGGATTCCTGAGTCCACTGGGCGTGCAGTATGTGCGGAATGCCAGTGACCTCAGCAAGTGAGCTGGTGTTTGCTCAACAAGATTCCGGGCGGCTCCACTGAGGGTGCCAGCATGTGGAGCCATGTGAGCACGTGAATACCCTAACCTTACTCCTAACCCCCGAGACACACACACAAACACACACACACACCCTGAGACACACACCTGCACAGACCTGCACACAGGTACACTTAGAGGTCCACTCAGAGGGACACACACACACACATACCCTTGTACTTACAGACACCCCCACACTTACACAAATCTGCACTTACACACACACACACACACACACAAACCCACCTCATCGCCTTACAGACCTAGGCCCACTGCCTGAGATTTGCGGACACTATACCCTCACCCCCTGGGCAGGGATGGGTGGGGGGGATCGCAGAGACTGGCCCCCTGTCTTCTGGGGGAGCCTGACATGGGGTGGTGGTGGAAGGTGGGGACAGGGCCAAGGGCTTCCCAGGGCTTCTGGACTGCTGGGCAGGTGGAGAAACAGGCTCCAAGTTCAAATTCCAGCTCCACGCTGGGTGACCTTGGAGAGGGGTCAGCCTAGTCACACAGCAGGGCGGGCACTGATGGGGGTCCCCCCCACACCCAGGGAAGGCCCTGGTTGGGCGCCTGCCTGGGAGGAGGCAGGGCAGTGCAGGAGAGCCTGGCTGTGGGTGTGCCAGGTGGGCTCAGGCTCTGCGGAGGCTGGGGCACAGGTGGTCAAGGGGGCGGTCTCAGGGCACCACCGACTTCCTGTCCCTGGCCACTGGGCATGGTCCCAGGCCAGCCTGGCTCAGACAGGACCTGGGAGAGAGCTGAAGAGTCGGCTGTCCACAGGTCCCTGCCTGGTGCCCTCAGGATTCCCGCAGAAACCCCATGGGGTCCTAACACACCTCACGGGGTTGGAGACCCAGGAAGTGCCCACCGGCCTTGCCATTCCAGGGAGCCCCTCTCCTCCCCCATGGCCCCGGCGCAGGCATTCCCTGGCCTCGGAAGGGTGGCTGGCGAGGTGACTCAGAGCCGCCGTCTTTGTAAACTTCCCTGCACCCCGGTGCTGCCCCGCACCCACGGGACAGGCCTGGCCCTGGTGGGTCCGTCTCGGGCCCTGAAGCCCGCGGAGGCCACGGCGGCCGAGCCCCGCGCCCCGGGAGGAAACAGGCCATCCCCGGCCGAGCGCTCACCTGCTGCCCGCGGCCGTCCCGGGCCGTCCCTCGGCCCCGTGCGCCGCCGGCCCGTCTGTGGCGCCCCGGCCGCCGCGCTCGGTGTCCACGGGCGGGGCGGGGCGGGCGCACCGGGCGAGGAGGAACCTGAGCGACAGGTTCGGAGTCACCGGGGTGCGAGGGGCGGGGCCGCAGCGTCGCCCCCGCCCTCAGCCCGCCCTGCGGGTCCCCAACTCGCTGGCGGGGCAGGGGCCCCTGAGGGGGTAACCTTGAGCCTGCGGAGGGGGCTCCCCACCTCGGGCGTCTGCCAGGTCCAATGCCCGGGACCCCTCCCCTGCAGCCCTGCCCGGGCCCGGGGTGCTGTGTCCGAGCTCTTTCAAGGAGGACCTCTGCCCCGCTGGACACTGGGAGGAGGGGGGCTCCCTCCTGCTCACCTCTGCTCTCCCAGCAGGAGGCAGGTGACCTGGGCAGGTGGGCAGCAGGAAGAGGAAAGACCAAGGTCTGGCCCAGGTCAATGCCTAAGGTGAGGACAGAGGCCAAGGAGCTTCTAGGAAGCCCTAGCCAGGGCCAAGGTCCTAGGAAGGCAGGGCCCCTCCCAGCTTGGACACAGGTGGCAGGAAGTGGCCTTGTAGGGACCAGCTTCCTGGTTTGTGGCCTCTGGCTGAGCTCGCAGAACACACCTGGTCCTGCTCTGACCTGGCAGGTGGGAGCTGGGTGTCCAGCTGTCCACCAGGAGGGAGGACCTGGCTCAGCCTCCTGCCTGGCTAAGCTGGGCACTGGCCAGAGCAGGAAATGTTCCTGTCTCACCTCCTTCCCCTAGGAGGGGGTACCGCCTCCTGGGGGCAAGATAGGGGTGCCCAACGGAGAGTCTAAGGTGGACTATGTCAGTCAGTGGATTCTGCAGCGACTTCATCATGCTTAGAATGGCGAGACTGGCAGCAATTCATAACTGTCGAACTATCAAAGCCACTTCAGCAAGACCCTCGGAGCATGCCCCACATCGGGGACCTGGGATGGGTGGGAGCTGGGTGGGGCTTCTTCCTTTATCTCCCCTTTACCCCAGATACAAGAAAAGAAGAGACTATGGAAATAATAGCTTTACCCACTCTCCTGTAGTCCTTAAATCTTTGTGCCCTTATATCCATATAAAGTTGTCAAAAATAAAGAAAAAAATTTAAAAAGACATTAATTCTTAGAAAAATTTATTTAAAAAAAAAAAAAAGATGGGAGTGCCTGACTGCAAGCTAGGCCTTGGTGGTCTGCAGCGAAACTGAGGTGGGCACCCCACGCGGCTGAGGCGGGGCACCCCCACATGGCTGAGGTGGGCACCCCACGCGGCTGAGGCGGGGCACCCCCACGCGGCTGAGGCAGAACACCCCCACATGGCTGAGGTGGGCACCCCCACGCGGCTGAGGCGGGGCACCCCCACATGGCTGAGGTGGGCACCCCCACGCGGCTGAGGTGGGCACCCCCACGCGGCTGAGGCGGGGCACCCCCACATGGCTGAGATGGGCACCCCCACGCGGCTGAGGCAGAACACCCCCACATGGCTGAGGTGGGCACCCCCACGCGGCTGAGGTGGGCACCCCCACGCGGCTGAGGCGGGGCACCCCCACATGGCTGAGATGGGCACCCCCACGCGGCTGAGGCAGAACACCCCCACATGGCTGAGGTGGGCACCCCCACGCGGCTGAGGTGGGCACCCCCACGCGGCTGAGGCGGGGCACCCCCACATGGCTGAGATGGGCACCCCCACGCGGCTGAGGCAGAACACCCCCACATGGCTGAGGTGGGCACCCCCACGCGGCTGAGGCGGGGCACCCCCACATGGCTGAGGTGGGCACCCCACGCGGCTGAGGGGGACACCCTGACACGGTCAAGGGGGGCAGCCCGTCACGGCTGCAGCCTCAGGTGCAGGCAGTGGGGAGGCCCCTGCAGGGTATACGGCCAGCAGCAGGGCAGGCTCAGCCCATTTACTGAGGTCAGGGCTGAGTTCAGGGAGCTGTGGGTGCGGGGTGCTGGCAGTGTCTGAGCTGAGGAGGGGTACCGTAGGTGCTGAGATTTATTTTAAAAAGTGAACAACAGGAATTGTGGCGACAAAAAGCAGGGCCAGTGAGACTTTCTGCTTCAGGCCTGGGAAGGTGCCCTGGCCCTCGCCTGTTCCCCATCCTGTCTGGTGCTGGGGGCAGTGTCCGCAGGTGTCCCAGGAGCAGGCTGTGGGGCTGCGGCAGCCGTGGACATGGCCTGATTGGGGCAGTGGCTGCAGGCGTCTGAGGAGCAGAGTGGGGCACTATGGCCAGCTGGCAGCTATCTGATGAGGCCAGCGATGACTAGTACTTGTAGGACAGCCTCCAGACTGTGCAGCGCCAGGAGTACAGCACCCAGGACCGAGTCTGCCCGCAGGACCAGGGTCTGCCAGAACAGGAAGTGGACAGCGAGGAGGGCGTTGCCTGCAGTGAGCACCAGGCTGGCAGCCAGTGGCCCCTCGGCCTCGGTAAGGTTGCCTTTGGTGCCTGCAGAGCAAGGGTGAGCGTGAGGCCCAGCGTTCTAGTCCTCCCAGTCCCGTGGCCCACTATACTCCCTCGGCCAGTGCCTCTCTAGCTGCGTGAGGTCAAGGACTAGAGTGGCTTGGAGGGGGCCTGGGACTCCCATAAGTCCATGTGAGAGAGAAGATTCTACAACTCCTGGGCCAAGGACAGTCCTGGAGAGGACACCCTCCTGCTTCACCAACCAGGTCCCGTGCAGCTGATCCTCCATGCGGGAGCAGCGAGGACACCAGCTCACCCTCTGGCACCCAGGGGAGGCGCAGGGCCTGCGGCAGAGATCAGCTGGGCTCCTGGCTGGGCCTCGTGTCTTCCCGGTATGTGTGCAGGGCTGAGGCAGAGCCTGGGTTGGGGGTTCCCTCTGCACAGACAGGGCAGGGCGCTGGGTCATGTGTATGTGCCCAGTGCTGACCCAGGGCCCCTGGAGAACTGTCCACTTTCTCCAACTGGTGCTCTCTGGCCTGGTAACAGGTGGCCCCGACACTCACCCAGGTACAGCCGTAGCACTTCCAGCAGCCCCATGGCACACAGCAGGCCCACGTCCAGCAGCAGGAGGCCGTGGGGGTAGCTGAAGGTCTGGCCTGCAGGATGGGGGATACACAGCAGGGCTGCAGCAGGCACTGGGCTGGGCCCCCACCTAGTCCCCTCCTGGAGGACTCACTCTTATAGAGGATGAGCAGCAGGGTGGCTGGGAAGTAGAGCACGGAGAACAGGCCGCTGAGGCAGAAGAGAACTTGCAGAGGGACGGACGAGAGCTGCAAGGGGTCAAGGGCCAGCAGCAAACAGGGGCAGGGTGGGGGTTCTGCAGGAACCACACAGACACACACACACATATGTCCACCCCCAGACACGTGTCAGCTAACAGACACACATCCACATGCGTACCCACCCCCGGACACGTGCCCACAGAGATGAGAGTGCACACACACGCAGGGCCTGTCTGGGCATGCCCCTCAGGGTGGGCATAGCATCCCAGATTGAGCCCTCAGGTCTGTGCTGTGTGGGTCCTTGGAAGTTCAGGCTGGGTGGGCAGCAGGCACCTTCCTGCCATGGAATGGGGGCAGAGGAAGCCACTTCAGGACACTGCCAGGACCCTCGCAGCCCAGCAGGAGGGGAGGGGCGGCAGTGCTGCTAAAGAAACAGGGCAGGGTGAGCTGTTGGCTGAGTGACCCCAGAGCCTGGGCCCCTGTCCCCAACGTGAGCAAGGTTCCTGGCCCCAGCCTGAGCCTGCGCTTGCATTGGGGGGGTGACCCAGTGCGAGCAGACCTCCGTCCATCATCTTGAAAAGACACTGAGGTGACCTGCTTCCTGGCCAGCGGGTGCCTGTGGCTGCACGTCCAGGATACCACCTCGCAAGAGCCTTGTCCTGCAAGAGAGGGTGCCCAGGTCAGCAGGGAGCGCAGCCTGCGGGAACAGTCCTGGTTCCTCCCCAAGCCTGGCAAGTTCCCACCACCCCGTCCCCTGGGGGCACGGTGGAGCGGAAATGAGGCTCAGTGCTATCCATGGCCAGGCCAGACTCAAGCCAGACAAGCAGGACCAGGGGCCCACCCAGGGCAGGTCTCACCCCGTGACCTTTGCTCATGCTGTTTTTAAACACTTGTTTGTTTTTATTTCGAAGTCAGGGTTACCGAGGGGGGGGTGCGGGGAGGAAGACATTCCACCTGCTGGTTCACTCCCTCAATGCCTGCACTGCCCCAGGGCTGGGCCTGTCCAGAGCCAGAAGCCTGGTGCTGGTCCTTCATGCGGGTGCTGTGCCAAGCACCGGGGGCGTCCTCTGCCACCTGTCTAGCTGCATTAGTAGGGGGCTGCATGGCAAGTGGGGCAGCCAGTCACCTCCTCCTTCCATAGACCACACTGCCAGGACATGCGAGTACAGCATGGGGAGCAGCTCCCCACAGCCCAGCCCGAAGCCAAAGCCCGAGCCGTGTCCAGGGCAGGGCGGCTGTGTGGCCGACGCGAGCACAGTCTTTCCTGAGTGGGGCCACCAGCACGCCCCACCTGACCGCAAGACTCAGGGACACAGTCGTGGGCGCATAGGGTCTGTCCATGTAGACAGCACCAGGGCCCATGGGCTTCAGGTGGGACCCATGGGACACGGGCGGGACCCCCGACTCGAAGCCAGGTGTGGCTGCATCCACAGGGGACAGTGGGTGATGGCTCCAGCCACCCACCCCAGGGGACAGCGGGTGATGGCCCCAGCCGCCCACCCCACGGGGGACAGTGGGTGATGGCCCCGGCCGCCCACCCCACGGGGGACAGTGGGTGATGGCCCCAGCCGCCCACCCCACGGGGGACAGCGGGTGATGGCCCGGGCCGCCCACCCCACGGGGGACAGTGGGTGATGGCCCCAGCCGCCCACCCCACGGGGGACAGCGGGTGATGGCCCCAGCCGCCCACCCCACGGGGGACAGCGGGTGATGGCCCCAGCCACCCACCCCACGGGGGACAGCGGGTGATGGCTCCGGCCGCGAATGGGGGACGCCCGGGGACAGCGGAGTCTCCGGACTGTGAACAACTACATCTCAAACACAGTAAAAGTGCCTCAGGGGACAGCCCGCCGCCTGCCCGGGGGCCGCGGGACCCTCGCTCCTGTCCGGCGGCCACGGGACCCGCGCTCCTCAGGCCCGAGCGCAGCCCGCTCACCTCGCCGCGCGGCCGCCATCTTACAGGCTCCGCCGCGCTCCCGGCAGCCCCCGCGCAGCCTCGGCCATCTTCGTGCGCCCGAAGGAAGCCGACCGGGAGCGGCAGCCGAGCACCGGCCGAGGCCCGACTCGTGCGTCCGGCCGCGCTCGGCCACTTTCGGACCGGAAGAGGCGGGGAGTCGAGGTTCGGGAGATTTGGACTGGGGGCGGGGGGCTGTCTTCGGCTGAGCTCGGGCCTACTCGGCTCCCTCCTTGCCGGAGAGGCCGGACCTCGCGTCGGAGGCCGGGGAGGGGCGGCCCGGAGCCGGACGTCCGGGCGGCCGGGGGCGACCCGCGGCTCGGCCTCGCAGCTGGAGCGGAGCGCTCGGAAGCCTTCGGACGGCTTCGGCACCTCTCGGACCGACTCGTCTCCTGACTTCGGACTGCTTCGGCCCGCGCCTGGGTCGGCTCGGCTCGGCTCGGCTCCGCCCGACTCGGCTCCGCTCGGCTCCGCCCGCCGGACGCCCGGCGGCCGCTTCGGGCGGCCTCGGCCCGGCTCGGACCGCGGCTTCGGGCCCGGCTTCGGGCTCGGCTCCCGGGGCTTCGGGCCGCCCCGGACGGCGCCTTCGGGCGGGCTCGGCGGAGTCCGGATGGAGGACTCGGACTCGGCGGCAAAGCAGCTGGGCCTGGCCGAGGCGGCGGCGGTGGCGGCCGCGGCCGCTGTGGCGGCGGCGGCCGCGGCCGCGGCGGGGGGCGAGGCCGAGGAGCCGGTGCTGAGCAGGGACGAGGACTCGGAGGAGGACGCGGACTCGGAGGCCGAGCGCGAGACGCGGCGGGTCACGGCCGTGGCGGTGATGGCGGCCGAGCCCGGGCACATGGACATGGGCACCGAGGCGCTGCCCGGCCCCGACGAGGCCGCCGCCGCCGCCGCCGCCTTCGCAGGCAAGTGCGCCCGCGCACCTGCCCCGCACCTCCGCCAGCCCCTGACCCCTGACCCCCGACCCGGCCCTGCGCGGACGCCTGCTGCCCTGGCTGCGTCCCCGTTCCAGAAGCTTCTGCACGTGTCTGTCCCGCTCGCCCCACTTGGCACTGCTGCCCTGCAAGGGGGGCGCCTGGCCCCAGGCTCGGGAGGACGGGCAGGTGCTGGGTGTGGGTGGGAGCCCGGCCCAGTTCCATGGGCGAAGGGAGGGTTGGCAGGAGACAGCCGCCCCGTGCCACCCTGGTGGGCGCCCTGAGTCTATTCCATGATTTTCTGAAGCGTGCCTCAGCGTGAGCTGTTTGCAGGTGTTCTGTAGGGAGCTGAGTTCTTGCAGGTTCAGGTGCCCACTCGAGGCCACCTGGCAAGGCAGTGGCTCCGTTCATCCATGTGCTCACATACCTGCTTGAGTGGCCTGTGGTGCTGGCTGAGGGCCCGGCACAGCAAGCTGTGCTGCTGGTGGGACAGGATTGCCAAGGGCAGGGGGTGGCAAAGGTGGGGCTGTGGGTGTGAGGGACAGCCCTGGGTGGGCCTGACCACGCAGTGGGACTGCAAGGGCTGTGGGCGTGAGCTGAGAGTCCTGGGTGGACCTGACCACGCAGTAGGACTGTGGGGCCTGTGGGCGTGAGCTGGGGCCTGACCACGCAGTGGGACTGCGGGGGCTGTGGGCGTGAGCTGGGACCTGACCAAGCAGTGGTAAGGATAGGAGCAGACGGGGGAGGTACCCGCCTAGAGTCCACCTCGTGGGTCTCTGGAGCTGGCCTAGTGGTGGACAGAGCCTGGACTGGCTATCTCCCCACATGGTTAAATGCTTTTTTTTTTTTCAATATGTGATTTTTCTATCGGAAAGGCAGATTTACAGAGCGACAGAAAGCTCTCTCTACTGGTTCACTCCCCAAGTGGCCACAATGGCCGGTGCTGTACCAATCTGAAGCCAGGAGCCAGGAACTTCCTCCAGCTTCCTACCCGGGTACAGGGTCCCAAGGCTTTGTACCGTTCTCTACTGCTTTCCCAGGCCACAGGCAGGGAGCTGGATGCGAAGTGGAGCAGCCAGGACACAAACTGGAGCCCATATGGGATCCCAGTGCATGCAAGGCAAGCGTTTAGCCACTAGGCTATTGTGCCAGTCTCCAAATGCTTGTTTATTCTTGGCTTGTGTTTGCTGTGATTGCAGACACGGTGGAGCCGATGCTCTACCTGCCCAGCTCCCACAGAATGCCCGCAGCAGCTGGGGCCGAGACCTAGCCAGGACCTCCACCGCGTCTCCAAGTGGTGACTGGGCCATGTCAGCAGACCCTCCACCACCCAGGCCGGGCCTCGGGGTCCCAGGTGGCCCCCAGCTCCCCACCCTGAGCTGGCCTCCTCCTGTTGCAGAGGTGACCACGGTGACCGTGGCCAATGTGGGGGCTTCTGCAGACAACGTGTTCACCACGTCGGTGGCAAATGCAGCGTCCATCTCAGGACATGTCCTGGTGAGCTGCCCCTGAGGTCCGACAGGGTAGCCCTGTGACAGAGACCAGGAGGGGCTGGCTGTGCGGGGTCAGTCAGTCAGTCTAGCAAGAGGGCACGGGGTGAATGTGGCGGCCATGTGACCTTAGGTATGTGGGGGAGTGGGAGGGGTGAGCCAGCCACATGCGTTGCACTGTGGGCCCTGTCCTGTCTCTCTCCTCCTGTCTGGCAGCCCCAGAAGGTCGCCCCTGCTCAGCAGGGACAGGGTGGTGCCGGCCCTGGGCTGCATCCCCTGCCCGAGGTGACTGCCTGCTCTGTGTCCCTGCAGTCGGGCCGGACAGCCCTGCAGCTGGGGGACAGCCTGAATGCCGAGAAGGCTACGCTCATTGTGGTGCACACGGATGGCAGCATCGTGGAGACGGCGGGGCTCAAGGGCCCTGCAGCCCCCCTCGCCCCAGGTACACACCCCTCCTCAAGTCTGTGCCCCCTTGCCCCAGGTACACACCCCTCCTCAAGTCTGTGCCCCCTTGTCCCAGGTACACGCCCCTCCCTAAGTTTGCACCCCTCCTCACCCCAAGTATGTGTCCCCTCCCTGCGTCCCTTCCCCAAGTATGCATTTCTTCCCCCTCTCCAGGTACCTGTTCCCTCTGCCCCCTCCCCCCATTCCTGCCCCTAAGTATGTGTTCCCCGCCTGCCCCCAGGTTTCTGTTCTCTCCCCACCCTCCACCGCATGTGGTCCCTCCCCCTGCCACAGGTTCACGCCCCGCCCCTTCCCCTGTGCCCCGCCCCTTCCCCTGCCCCCCCTCCCCCCATGCCCCAGGTCGTGCAGCCTCCTGCCTGGCAGGTCCATAGCCTGTTGCAGTGCGCAGTTTGAGCTGTGGCTGGGGGCAGTGGACGAAGCGGAGCACTCCGCGAGTGACCCACACCACTCTGACCTTCAGCTTGCTCCCCTGGCCCAGGCTCCCAGTCCCCTCCAGCCCCCCTCACTCCGGGCCAGGAGAAGACTGGCACCAAGTACAACTGGGACCCGTCGGTCTATGACAGCGAGCTACCTGTACGCTGTAGGAACATCAGCGGGACACTGCACAAGAGCAGGCTGGGCTCAGGTGGGTGGGGCGCGGCTCTGTGGGCAGGCCTCGGTGGGCAGGGCTGTGGTCAGTTGGGCGGCCTGGGCTAAGGAGGGGGCAGTAGGGGGTGGCTTGGGCCTGAAGTGCCCCCAAGGACCTGTGAGATTCTCCTAGTGGCTCACCGTCGGGATGAGGCTGCAGGGGAGGGCCAGATCCAGTCGGTGGGAGGCAGGGCACTAGTGACCATGGCCGTGTGCAGGGGGCCGGGGCCGCTGCATCAGGCAGGGAGAGAACTGGTACAGTCCAACCGAGTTTGAGGCCATGGCCGGCCGGGCCAGCAGCAAGGACTGGAAACGCAGTATCCGCTACGCAGGGAGGCCCCTGCAGTGCCTCATCCAGGTAAGGCCGCCTGGGTGGGGCAGGGGTGCCTGGGGCCCCGGGCTGTGCAAGGCTGCCCCAACAACATGTTTCCCATCTTGCAGGATGGAATCCTGAACCCTCACGCAGCCTCCTGCACCTGTGCCGCCTGCTGTGATGACCTGACCCTGGTAGGTCCCGGGAGGAGGAGCGATGGGGGCCAGAGCACCGGGGGTCCCGGGAAGAGGACCTGCCGCCATTGTTCAGCTGTGCCGTCTGCAGAGTGGACCGGTCAGGCTCTTCGTGCCTTACAAGAGACGCAAAAAGGAGCACGAGCTGCCCAGCACCCCGGTCAAGAAGGACCCGGCCAAGAACATAGCGCTGCTGCCCGCCACCGCAGCCACGACCTGTGAGTCCCCACCCCGCCAGGGCCCAGCGGCTGGGACGCACGTGGGCTGGTGCCCAGGTACTGGCCTGCGGGGACCTGTTGCACGGGCAGTGCCTGGGCCTGCAGGACGTGTCCCTTCCCCAGGGACAGCGGATCACTACTCAGACGCCCACAGCGGCCGGAGCTGGGCCAGGCGCTCCATGCGGGTCTCCCATGTGGATGTAGTAGGGCCCCAGGCACAGTAGCCAGCTCATGGCTGGACAGCCAGGCGGTGTCGTTGGGGCTTGCGTGGGGCCTGTGCCGCGGGTCTGGCTCACCCGTGGGCACTTCGCTTCTGCCCCACCAGTCACCGTCACGTCCTCAGGCCAGATCACTACCTCTGGGGCCCTGACCTTCGACCGAGCATCCACCGTGGAGGCCACGGCTGTCATATCAGAGAGCCCAGCCCAGGGCGACGTGTTCGCGGGAGCCACAGGTAGTTCTGCTGGCCCGTGGGGCACAGTGGTGGGGGTGGGGCTGTGGCAAATGTGAGGGCAGAATGGACAGTGGGGCTGCTGTCTGTCCCGCCCGCCGCCTCGTCTTGTCTCTGCAGTGCAGGAGGCGGGGGTGCAGCCGCCGTGCAGGGTGGGCCACCCCGAGCCACACTACCCCAGCTACCAGGACAGCTGCCAGATGGCCCCGTTCCCTGAAGCTGCACTGCCGACCTCACACCCCAAGATAGGTGAGTGGGAGGCCGCTCTGCTCTCCGAATGCCCTCGGGAGCCCGGGGGCGGGGGCAATGCTGTGACCCCTGGCTTCTTGCAGTGCTCACGTCGCTGCCCGCGCTGGCCGTGCCCCCGTCCACGCCCACCAAGGCTGTGCCACCCGCCGTGGTGAACGGGCTCGAGGCCTCGGAGCCGCGCAGCTGGGTGTACCTGGAGGAGATGGTGAACTCGCTGCTGAGCACGGCGCAGCAGCTGAAGGCGCTGCTGGAGCAGGCGCGCCAGGCCAGCTCATACCGCGAGGCCAGGCTGCAGGCGGACGCAGAGCGCAAGGAGGTGGGCCCGGGAGGTGGAGATCGAAGGGTTGACGGATTGCTTGACGTGAAGGGCAGGGCCAGGGAGGGCGAAGAACTTGCTGGGCCAGGAGAGCTGCTCCCGGGTCTCCCACGTGGGTGCAGGGTCCCCAGGCCTTGGGCCATCCTCCGTGGCTTTCCCAGGCCACAGACAGGGCGCTGGGTGCAAGAGGAGTAGCCAGGCCTTGGACTGCTGTTGCTGGTGACGGCTTCAGCCTGGAACCCTGGGGTGTGGGGAAAGGGGGGGGCGCCTGGTGGGGGCACAGGAAAGGGTGTAGGGGTTGGAGGCTCATCTGTTGTGTCCTGCCAGCCACGATGTCCCAGGGTTGGGGACAGAGCTGCCCGTGCTTGTCTGCCTGCTCCTCTGTGGCTTGGGCAAGGTGAGAGGGCAGAAGCACACAGCCCGTCAGCACCCAGTCTGCATTCCCGGCGTAACTGCCCTTGTCAGAGGCTGGCCAGGGTGCGGCTTCCCTAGCAGCATCAAGTGCTGACCCGGAAGCCCCAGCCAGCCCATGCGGGACCCTCTCCGAGCAGGATGTGGGCTGGGACTGCTAAGCTCGTTTGCAGAGCAAGCTCGGCTAGGCTGGCTGGCTGGCCTGTCCCAGTGGGCAAGGCGTGCCCCTTGCTGGTTCCAGCTGCTGCGGCCAGCTGGAAAGTAAACCTGCAGGTGGAAGACTCTCTGTCTCTCTCTGTCTCTCCCCTTCTCTCTCTCTGCATTCATTTGGCCTTTACAGCGCAGCAGATGGCCTGGCTGCAGTGTCCTCTCTAGGTCACCTCCACGGCCGCCCCAGGCAGGGACCAGCAGGAGCAGCTGAGCAGCCCGGGCCTTGGGCGGCTTCCAGGCCGGCCTGGGATTCCTCCCTGCCCCTGTGCGAGCAGTTCCTCCCTGCTCATTCCTGTCCCTCAGGTGGAGTTCCCTTTAGTGGGAGGGAAGAGGAAGCGGGGTGCTGGGTAACGGCCCCCCAGCTGGATGCGGGAGGCCTCTGCAGTGAGAGCTGCTGGGGGGCCCAGCCAGACTCCTGGAGGCTCTGCTAGTGCCAGCTGGGGACATTGTCAAAAGGTTTTCTTTATGTGTGTTGATCTGTAAAGCAGTGAACTAGACAGAGTTTAGGCTCACAGCTGCCAGGCTGGAGCCAGGGGCTTCTTCCGGGTCTCCCCCATTGGTACAGGGCCCCAGGCTCGTGGGCCGTCCTCTGCTCCTTTCTCAGGCCACAAAAGGCAGCAGGAGGGGAAGTGGGGCCCACATGGGATGTGGCATCGCTGGGGCCCATGCTTACCTGCCCGTGCCACCTTTAGCTGGGTACACAGGTGCAAGTGAGAGCTCTGAGCCCTGGCCCTGCCCTGGCCCTGCCCTGGCCCACATAGTCCTGCCAGCAAACACAGCATGTGCTGGGCACAAGTGTGCCCCAAAGCTGGCGCAGCAGGGTCCTTGGGGTGGTACAGGAGGGAGGCCTTGGCCAGGTGGGCCGTGCACATGGAGGGCCCACTGACTGGACGCTGGCCGTTTGTGGTATTCCTGGGCTGTCCTGTGCGTAGCACAGGGGACTGGCAGTGGGCAGGCAGGGTTTGGGGCAGGGGCTGGATTTACTGCAAATACAAGTTTTGCCCTGGCCAGTGGCCCTGTGCTAGACCCCAGCCCCATGCCTGCTACCTTGCACAGGCACTTCCTGCTTCCTGGGAGCTTTGTGGTGGACGTGTCAGTTGTCACCCAGTGGCTTGATCATATGAGGGTCACCTGTACAGCATCCAGCCAAGTGAAGGGGACAGGGCTCGCCTAGCTCTGCCCCCCCCCAGGGTCCTGTGTCCCCTGCTAGTGGGGGCCTCTGGGGGTGCTGGGTGTCTGGAGCTCGAGCTGCTGGGAGGGAGCGGGTGTGTCACAGGGCCCTGTGGGGCCAGGTCGCTGACCGCTGTCCATGTCCTGCAGCAGTCCTGTGCCAACTGCGGCCGGGAAGCCCTGAGCGAGTGCACTGGCTGCCACAAGGCCAACTACTGCTCCACGTTCTGCCAGCGCAAGGTAGCCCTGCCCAGTTCATCCGTGAGGCCACCTGGGGCCTGATCCCTGACCCCGGCCTGGGCCAGGGATTCCCCAGTGCCCATGCTAACCTCCCCCTGCAGGACTGGAAGGACCACCAGCACCTGTGCGGGCAGTCAGCGGCCGTGGCTGTGCAGGCGGGCGAGGTGCACGTGGCTGAGGGCGCCATCGAGAAGGTCCCGGTGTGAGGGTCTGGGGGCCGGTGACGACCCTGCCGCCCACACCCACTGCCCGTGGTGTACCTGTGCAGCATGAATGCGCATGTGCCTCCCCTGTGAATAAACTGTAAATATGGTTGGTCCTCGCTGAGTCCGTGGAGGGGGCGGGTGAGCAGCAGCGGCCCTCCCACACCTGCTGTGCCTGCACCTGCAGCCCAGGTCTCTGGTAGGAGTAGGTGGGAAGCACTACCTTCTGGAAGCCTCTTTGGTTTCACAAATGCCTTCAGGGGCCAGACTGGGTACCCTGAGATGCTGGACTGAGCCGGAGCTGTGCACACCAGAGCTGGGGCTGTGCACACCAGAGCCGGGGCTGTGCACACCAGGGCTGGGGCTCACACACCAGGGCTGGGCTGTGCACACCAGAGCTGGGGCTCACACACCAGGGCCGGGGATTGTAGGCCAGCTCCCTCCTGCACCTTCCTGCTTCTTGTCCCTGTCCTCTCATGGGGCTTATTCTGCCTGTATCCCTAGCTGCTTCTGAAACCACTTCCCTAGTTCTCAGATTCACTCGTAAAGCCCTTCCACTCCATGGCTTGCCAAACACCCCTTCCTGCTGCTCTGGTGGCCTCGCTCCTGGGGTGGGATGGGAGACTTGGTGGGGGGGCCAGAAGAGGGCCCATCCTGTACCTGGATGGCCTCTGTGTCTGGGGCAGCCTGCAGGGGGTCAGCACTTCCTCCTTTGGGTGGTCCAAGAGGTCAGCTCAGCCATGCTGTCGGCTGAGCCCGGGCCCTTGTCCATGGGTAAAGCCTCCAGCCTTCAGTTGACAAGGATGTGTCCTTGAGGCGGGTCCCAGGACAGGCTTGAGGGGCAGCCCACCACACCCAGCAGGGCACCGAATCCCAGATCGGGGAGAGCAGGACTTCCGGATTCCACTTCTGAAAGCTTAACCAACTCCCAGGTGCTCCTGACAGCCGGGTCTGGGCCAGGAGCTGGGAACTGTCCCTGCTGCCCCGTGGACATTAATGGGGCTGGCTGAGGGGTCACCTGGGGGCGGGGGGTGGCAGGTGGACAGGAAGGCTGAGCCTTGACGTGGTTGTGATGGCGATGTCGATTAAGGAGGGCAGGGCTTCCATGCCAGATGTTCTGTTTGCTCCATTTTATTGGAAAGGCAGAGAGCTTCATGCAGTTCACCAGCAGGGCTGGTGGGGAGCCAGGAGCCTCAGGGGTCTCACAGTGTCCCACGTGGAGGCAAGGCCCAGACGTGGGCAGTCCTCAGCTACCTCCCAGGACATCAACAGTGAGAAGCAGCCAGGACAATCTGCACCCCAAGAACCTGGGCGTGGCTTAGGGTGCGTTTTCCACCCTCGGGGAAGCCAGGGCCCCCTCTCTGCCAGACTCAGGCAGGCACCAGCGTCAGGGTGCACTTCAGCAGCAGGGGCGCAGCGCCCGGCGAAAGACGCCCCGAAACTCGGCGTTGAAGACGGTGTAGATGAGCGGGTTGAGGGCGCTGTTGACGTAACCCAGCCAGGTGACGGCACTGACCAGCCGCGGGGGCACGGGGCAGGCAGGACACAGCGCTCGCGTGATGTGCACCACGAAGAAGGGCGTCCAACACACCAGGAAGGCCCCTGCGGGAGCGCAGAGCCGGTCGGCTTCCGCCAGAACCACCGCCCCCGTCCCCGGACCCGCCCCGGGCCCACACGCACCGACCACCACCGGCAGGACTCTCATGGCTTTGCGCTCGCGGCCGGGGATCTTGGCGCGCCTCCTCCCGCGCGTCTGCGGCGGGGGCGGCGGCTCGGGGGCTGGGGCCGCGGCGCCGCCGTCGGGGGGCGCGCAGTCGGGGCAGCAGGGGCCCTCGGGGAGGCTGGACGCGGGCGGGCCGGGGCCGCTGGGCCGGCGGGGCGTGCGGCCGTGCAGCTTGGCGCGCCGGGCCTCCTCCCAGCGACGCAGGCCCCGGAACGTGGCCCAATAGAGCAGCAGCATGAGCGGGCAGGGCAAGAAGAAGGAGCACACGGACGAATAGACCACGTAGTCGCTGTCCTCCAGACGGCACACGGCAGGGTCGCGGCCGCGCACGTCGTTGAGGCCGCACAGCACCGGCGCGGCCACCGCGGCCGACAGCAGCCACGTGGCGCCGATGAGCACCAGCGGGCGCCGGGCTCCGCCCTGGCTGTTATAATGCAGCGGCAAGGCCACGGCCACGAACCTGCGGGCGTGCAGCGCGGTGAGGACGGTGAGGACGCGTGACCCGGAGAGGGCGCACCACACGAAGGGGAGGAGCTCGGCTGGTGAGGGCTGGGCCGGGAGGGAGCGTGCAGCGCGGCGAGGACGGTGACCGGGAGAGAGTGCACGACACGCAGAAGCGCGGCGGGGGGAGGGTGGCCAGCACCGTCAGGGCACCGGGCCGGTGGGGATGCGCCCGACGCAGGGAGGGCACGCAGCCCACCTGTCCACGCTGATGGCACATAGGTTGAAGATGGAGGCGGTGCACAGCATGACGTCCATGGCCATGAGTACGTCGCACAACCGGGGGCTCAACAGCCACGCGCCGCCCTGCACCTGGTAAGCACGGCCACACGCAGTGCTGGGGCGTTCCCAGCCGGCACAGGTCCTCCGCCTAAGCTGGGCACGCAGAGGCCAGGGGAAGGGGCACAGAAGGGAGACCCCTGTCCCAAACTCCCCCTTCCCGCGTCGCACGGTGGATCCAAATCCGCCGGCCCGGAACGGGGCACCTGGAGCGCCAGGGCCTGTGTGGGTGACGCTGAGAGGTGTGGCTGAAGCGGAGGTGGGACAGGGCTGGTGCCCTTACAGCGGGTGCAGGCAGGGCGTGGGATGCCCGTCTCCAAGGGCTGGGGAAAGCCAGCCGCCCCCTCCCTCTGAAGTCCCTCCCCGCCGATTTGGGACAATTAGCAGCTTAAGCGTGACGTCACCGTGATGGGGGCGGCAGAGGTCGTGCGTGTTTCCCCGCTGCCCAGCCGCCCCTCCCCCACCGGCCAGGTCGCCGCGTCCCCGGGCCTAAGCCGCTTTTCTCCCAACACCAGCGGGGACGCCTACCCGGCCCGGGCTCCCCTCCGTCCGTGCGCAGCGCGGGTCCAGTCGGGCGCGAGATGACCCGTGCCTGGGTACCGCAGGGGTCCCATTTGCTGTCCGCGCTCCCCTAGCAAAGTCGCCTAAACTTGGCGTTGCTGGGTCGGCCAAGGGCGCGCGCCGGGACCGACGGGGAGGACGCGCGGGGCGCGGCGCGAGCTCACCTCGGAATACACGAAGAGCGGCAGCACCAGCAGGGCGAGCAGCAGGTCGGCGGCCGCCAGGCTCACGATGAAGTAGTTGGTGGGCGTCTGCAAGGCGCGCTCGACCGCCACACTGGCGCACACCAGCGAGTTCCCCGCCAGCACGGCGCCGATGAGCAGCACGCCCCCCGCCAGCGCCGCCGCGCCCCCGGGCCCCAGCCCGGGCGCGCGTCCCGCCAGCCCGCCCGCGTCCGCCGCGCTGCGGTTGCCCATGGCGCGCCCGGGCGGGCGGCAGCACCGCGGCCAGCGGCCAGCGCGGTCAGCGGCCAGCGCGGTCAGCGGCCAGCGGCGTCCGCGAGCCCCGCCCCGCCGGGCCCTCGTCCCGCCCCTGCCCCGCCCCCCGCCGCTCGGGCCGGTGCTGGCGCGGCCCCCGGGACCCTCGCTGGGCGGAGAGCGACGGGCGCAGCCGCGGTGCTGCGGAGGCCGGAGCCCAGCCCGACGGTTGGTGCGCACGCCGGCAGCGTCCGCGTCCAGGGCACCTTGGATGTCCGGGGCAGCCCGACCGCACAGCCCTGGGGGCGGCGGCCGAAACCGGCGGGGCCGTCTCCGAAGCGCGGGGGGCGCGTGCAGGCGGGTATGGCAGGGGACACGGCAGGCGGGCACACAGCAGGGGGCACTGCAGGCGGGCACACAGCAGGGGGCACCGCAGGCGGGCACACAGCAGGGGGCACTGCAGGCGGGCAAGGCAGGGGGCACCGCAGGCGGGCACACAGCAGGGGGCACGGCAGGCGGGCACACAGCACGGGGGCACTGCAGGCGGGCACGGAGGGGGACACTGCAGGCAGGCATGGCAGGGGGCACCGCAGGCGGGCACACAGCAGGGGGACACTGCAGGCGGGCACGGTAGGCGGGCACACAGCAGGGGGACACTGCAGGCAGGCATGGCAGGGGGCACGGCAGGCGGGCACACAGCAGGGGGCACTGCAGGCGGGCATGGCAGGGGGCACCGCAGGCGGGCACACAGCAGGGGGGCACTGCAGGCGGGCACTGCAGGGGACACATGGCAGGCGGGCATGGCCGGCGGGCTCTGAGGTCGAGGCTCCCCACCCAGGGGCAAGTCCAGCCTGACGCTGCACATGTCCTACCCCCAGATGTCCAGCTGCGTGACCGTGGGATGGCAGCCAAGCTGGGCGACCTGAAGGGTCAGATATGGGGTCCCCAGACGCAGGCATCTGATGCGGATGTTGGATCAAATCCCCGCTGCTCCACTTCCTATCCAGCTCCCTGCCTGTGCCCTGGGAAAGTAGCGGAGGACGGCCCAAAGCCTTGGAACCCTGCACCCACGTGGGAGACCCAGATGAGGCTCCTGGCTCCTGGTTTCAGATCAGCATAGCTCTGACCGTTATGGTCACTTGGGAAGTGAATCAGCAGACGGAAAATCTTACTGTCTCTCCTAATCTTTGTATATCTGACCTTCCAATCAAAATAAATACCTTTTTTAAGATTTATTTATTTTTATTGGATATACAGAGAGGAGGTGAGACAGAGAAGATCTTCCGTCCAATGACTCACTCCCCAAGTGGCCTCAACGGCCAGAGCTGAGCCAATCCAAAGCCAGGAGCCAGTAGCTCCTACTGGTCTCCCATGTGGGTGTAGGGTCCCAAGGCTTTGGGCCGCCCTCCACTGCTTTCCCAGGCCACAAGCAGGGAGCTGGATGGGAAGTAGAGCTGCTGGGATTAGAACCAGTGCCCATATGGGATCCCAGCACGTGCAAGGTGAGGACCTTAACCACTATGCCATCGTGACGGGCCCAAAATAAATCTTTAAAAAGAAAGAAAAAAATAAATAAATACACACTACACCTAAGAGATTTGTATGATTATGGTGAATCAAGTGTTTAAATGAAAAAAAGTTGAAATTTCAACATTTATCATGCATTTTTATTTGAAAGAACAAGAGAGTGAAGGATTCTATGCTTTCGTGCACCCGCCAAATCCCCAGAAAAATCCGACCCGGCTAGGCCCAGGTCTGCAGATGCACCGGGTCTCCGACCTGTGCGGGTCCCGCGCTGAGGCCGGCTCAGCAAGGCGTGGAACTCGGCCGGGGTGCCTGCCCGCACCTGCCCGCCGCCCCGCGCCCGCGTCTCCCGCGCCCTGGAGGCCTCCGGCCAGGCTGTCCACTCCGGACCCAGGGGCGCCGCTGCGGCGCGGGAGGCCCGGGCGACAGCTGTTGGGGCGGCTCCGACTCGGTGTCGATGCATGGGGCGCGGCCAGACGCGGGGCGCCCCCCGCCCGCCCCCGGCGCCGCTATAAAGGGGGCCGCGGCGGGAGCCTTTCCCCGTCCGCGCCCCCGCCATGGCCCCACGCCCCTTCCCGTTGCTGCTGCTGCTGCTGTTACTGGCGGGCTGCACCGCGCGCCCCGCGCCCGCAGCCGGCTCCAGGGGCGTCCCCGCGCCCAGGGCCCCGCGACATTCCGACGGGACCCTGACGAGCGAGCTGAGCCGCCTGCGGGACCGCGCGCGGCTGCAGCGGCTGCTGCAGGGCCTGCTGGGCAAGCGCAGGTGAGCGGCGGGCAGGCGAGCGGCGGGACCCCCGCTAGGCGAGCTCTGACTCGGGTGGGGGGACAGCCAGCAGGACCCCACGGACGGCCCCGCTTCCTGGCCCAGGCCCTGGACGGGCCGGCTCTGCCCGATGTGGCCGCTCCACCTGCCTGCAGGCCCGGTGAGCACTCCGCTCCCTTGACCCTGGGGACTGCGGGTCCACCTTCAAGGCCGGGTCCCTAAGCTGCCCTTCTCCGCAGGATGGCCCCGGGCGTCCCCTGCACCCCGCCCGGCCGCGCCCTGGGCAGAGGTGTGGGATCCAAGCTTCAGAGTCAGCGAATGAGAAGATCGAGGCCACACCGCCCCAGGAATGATGACCTTGGAGGAGGAAGGACCCCAACCCAACCGGATACAGGGGGTGGTGGGAAGGGCTGGTTGGTAGCAATAAAGGCAACGCTGAACCCCTGGCCTGAGCACCTGCGGCTGCATGTGGGGCAGGCACGGGCACGGGCCTGCGGGGCAGTGACCACAGACTATCCTTTATCTCTGGGTGGCCATCGCTTGCTCATTCTCAGGTTACCCTCCCAGCATCCTCTGATCACCCAGACCAGCCCCACCCTGGACGCCCCAACTCCTGCCCCAGGGGTCAGGGAGCAGTGTGGGCAGAGAGGAGGGGTCGCCCAGGCCTGTTTTGGGGCTGGCCAGGACTGGCTGGGGCTGCAGGTGGCCAGGGGCACCTTGAGGGCCGCGAAGTACGCCCTGTCCTTGGCAGAAGCTGTGGGAAGGGGCAGCCCCCAGCCCTCTGCCCTGGTCCCACCCTGGCCTCACCTGGTTGCCAAGGAAAAGGCTGGGGCAAGTGAGGTCCCTTGCTGAGAGGGGCCCTGGTTGAGGCTCTCATCCGCTGAGCACCGGAACAGGCAGGGGTGCCTTGTGACACAGTCTGGGGTTCAGGGAGGTGGGCTCGGAAGGGACCCCCAAAGCCCGGCTAGTCCCAGCTGCTGCCCTCGGGCCGAGCCCCGAGGATGCTCAGGGGGTGCCGAATGGCCGCCGGCCAGCGGGATCCCCCTTGGTAGAGGCCAGCTGTGAGGGCCATAAAGCCGGGCGGCGCCTGGCAGGTGCGAAGGTCGCTGAGGCAGGAACTGCGCTGGCAGGGTCAGTTGGACGCCAGACCTGCAGCACGTCCCCGCCAGACGGCGCCCGCTAAGATGGGGGCCTGGCCCCAGCTGTGGCCTCCGCTAGCGCTCGCCCTGCTGCTCACCGCCTTGCTGGGCCAACCCCCAGGGGCTGAGGCCCAGGGTAGGTGGGGGCTGGTGGGTGGGGGACACGGCACATGGGGGCTGGATGGGGGACTGAGGCCCAGGGTAGGTGGGGGGCATAGCGTACATGGGGACAGGTAGAGTGCCCAGGCATGCCCTTCCTCCAGGCTGCTCCGTGAGCCCAACCTTGGTGGAAATTGAGGAGAACACCAACAGATCGGAGCCCCTGGCCAACCTCACGATCCCGGATGGCCAGCAGGTGGTCCTAGGGCCCTCAACCACCGCTGGTGCGTTTCGGATTGCGGGGACTGAGCTGTTTCTCAACGTGGTTCCTGATTATGAGGTACGGGCAGCAGAGTCTACAGGGAGGCCTGAGGAGCATGGCCCACGCTGGCTGGCCGGACCCCAGGGCCTCAGTGGACACAGCTTCCTGGCCCCACCCCCTGCCCAACACTCCTGTGTCCCGCAGGCCACTCCATGGCTGCAAGCTGAACTTCAGTGCTTCAGGGGCAGCACTCTGGTAAGTCTCCCCGCTCGGCCACTTCCTGCCTGCCTGGCGAAGCCCTCATCCAGATGTGTTCCCACCCTGGCAGAGGCCTCTGCTGGCTGTGCCACAGCCTAGGAGGGTGCCTGTCACTGCCCCGGGGTTCAGTCCAGCCGTTCCCCCTCCTGCTGCGGTCTGGAACCTTCCAGCTGACCTCCCCCAGGGGGGTGCAGACCCTGCTACCCTTGGCTGCCGGCTCCCTCCCAGCCAGGCCTGCCCCGTGCACTGCCCAAGGCCACCTGCCGAGCCAGTGCAGCTGGACGCCCTCATAGCTGGCCACTGCCCACAGGTGACCACGCTGAGTGTGAACGTCATCGTGCTGGATGTGAATGACAACGCCCCACAGTTCCCCTTCAGCAACTTCACCAAGTCTGTGGATGAGGTTAGGATGGAGTGACCGTGGGGGCAAGTGGGGGACATCTGGGGGCTCCAGGGTGCCCCAACCTGCCCCTCTGCCCAGGACACTAAAGTGAACACCACGATCATCCCTGAGGAGGAGCTGGAGGCCCATGACGATGACCAGAATGACATCTTGTTCTACACACTCCGGGAGCTGACCCAGGTCAGTGCTGGCCAGCCCTGCTGCTCACCGGCCCCGTGCCCCCTCCAGCTCGCAGCCTCTCAGGCTGTGCCCCCCCAGCCTCTCAGGCCACCAGCCCCCCAGCCCCCAGGCTGTGCCCCCAGGCTGTGCCCCCCCCAGCCTCTCAGGTTGTGCCCCTCCCCTGCAGGGTGCCAGCAGCTTCTTCTCCCTGGCGGCTGAAAACCGTCCAGCGCTGAAGCTGACCCAGACCCTGGACTACGACAAGTTCCCGAACATGGCCTTGGAGCTACTGGCACGGGTGAGCATGGGTCCGCCCTGGGTCTTAGACACTGGGCCCCTGGGGCTGCCACCAGATCTGACCTGGGGTCCACTGCAGGACACCTGGGAGGAGAACCAGCAGCCCAGCCACACGGCCACGGCCACCCTGGTCCTGACGGTGGTGCCCAGTGATCTGCGGCCACCCTGGTTCCTGCCCTGCAGCTTTTCGGACGGCCACGTCTGCATCCAGGCCCAGTACTATGGGGCCGTGCCCACAGGACACACACTGGTGACCGGGGTCAGGGGTTGGGGCTCAGGTTCAGTCCACAGCTGAGGTCTGCCTTATGGCACTGGGCAGCCTCTTGGGGACGGGGCCAGGCTGGGCCATGGGGAAACCACAGGGCACCCCTGAAGCACACAGGCAAGGGGCGTGGCCAGATAGTGCCAGGGAAGAGGTTGGAAATCCCAGGCCAGCCATCACAGCAGACGCATGGTGTCCCCACAGTCAGAGCCCCTTGTCCTGCGTCCCGGGCCCATCTACGCGAAGGATGGAGACACGGCCATTGGGCAACGCATCATCTATAGTTTGCTCAGTGGTCAGTGAGCCCAGCCCCAGCCCAGTCCAGCCACAGCCTAGCCCATCCCCTGTTCTGCCCAGCCCAGCCCAGTCCAGCCCCTGCCCCAGCCCTGCCCAGCCCAGCCCAGCCCAGTCCAGCCCCTGCCCCAGCCCAGCCCAGTCCAGCCCCTGCCCCAGCCCTCCTTAGCCCCTGCAACAGCCAGCCCTGCCCCAGCCCCGTTGCAGCTGGCCCCAGGAGAGGGGTCCAGGCCTGACCTCTGGGTGGCTGCTGCAGGGAACCAGGATGACACATTCACCATCGATGAAGCCTCAGGCAACCTCACCATGGCCAAGAGCGTGCCGCGCCCCATGACCTTCCTCCTGGTGGTGAAGGTGGGCACAGGTTCAGGGGTGCGGGTGGCCGGGCAGTGTGGGCAGGGCAGGGCAGGGCAAACAGGGCAGCCCACCCTCCCTGCCCCCTCACTCCAAGTGCCTCCTGGTCCCCAGGGCGAGCAGGAGGACCTTGCCCGGTACTCTGTGACCCAGGTCACTGTGGAGGCCCGCGCAGCCACAGGCAGCACGCCCTACTTTGCCCAGACGCTGTACCGTGGCATCGTGGCACCTGGCTCCACAGTGGGCGTGGCCGTCCAGGATGCGGCTGCCCCGCCTGAGCCTCTGAGGATCCAGGCCCAGGACGATGACTTCCCGGTAGGCAGCCCCGCCTGTGATCTGGACCGCCTGATGGCGGGAGGGCGAGGGTGGGGGAGAAGCCAGGACTCACCAGGGCTGTGCCTAGGACTTCAACTCAGCCATCACGTACCGGGTCACCAACTGCTCTGAGTTCCGGATGGACGGCGAGGCCCTGCTGACTGCCAGCAGCGAGCTGCCCCAGGACCATGTCTTCTACTGTGAAGTATGGGGAGGGCCATGGCCTGCCATTCCTGGGCCAGGGAGCTGCCGAGCTTCTCAAACCTCTTGTTGCCCCAGGTGGAGGCCAAAAACATGGTGACGGAAAGCACGGCCACCACTGTGGTCGAGATCCGCGTCTCGGTGCAGAATCCACTGCCCACAGGTGAGACCCTGAGCCCAGGCAGGCTGGGTCTCCCCTAGGGCACAGGGCCAGGGCCACATGCAAACCTAGGGCTGTCCCCACACTCAGGCCTCCCGGAAACTGGAGGAACCTCCACCCCGACTCAGCAGCCTTCCGGCGGGGGCTCCAGCACTGTCCCTGTGAGCTCAACACCAACCCCGACAGCTGGATCCCCCAGGCCGACACCTCCCGGCGGGGGCTCCAGCCCTGCCCCCTCACCAGTCACCCCGGGGGGCTCCAACCCTGCCCCCTCACCAGTCACCCCAGGAAGCCCCAGCCCCACCCCCTCACCAGTCACCCCAGGGGCCTCGACAGACATGGGCTCCAGCGTGGGCTCCAGCCTTGCCCCCTTGCCATCCACCCCATCAACACAGACCCGGACAACACTTGGGCCAACATCTGGAGGGAGCTTCAGGACCACCACTGAAACTGCCCCACAAGGTACCCACTGACCCTCAGGATCCCCCATCCTGCTGACTCTCACACTGCCCGCGTGCTGGCTGTCCATCCTCTGGCGCTGCACCACTGAGGCCTGGGGCACTCTGAACCCCAAACTCAGTGCTGGGGTGCCAGCAGGGGAATCCCAGGTCAGGACCCCAGGGTACCTCCTGTGGGGGGGTCTGAGTGGTGCCCAGGGCCCATCTGAACTCTAGCTGTGCTCAGGTAGGTGGAGTTTGGGTGGTCAGGAGTGGTGGTAGGAGGGGCAGCTGGTGCCCCTGCCAAGGTCCAGGGCTGTCCTAGCGGGACACCCACCCTGCCTACCCACCTCCATCAACTGGGGTCTGGTCCGTGCTTGCGACACACTGCACTTACGCTTGGCCCTAGTGGGAACTGGAACCCTTGGAGGGCTTTAACCTTCTGGCCGCGGTGTCCCTGCAGAACCTTCTGGCTACTCTGCAAGGGACATGGCTGCTCTGGGTGGCACGTTGGGCGGCCTGCTGTTGCTGGCCCTCGTCGGCCTGGTCTTCCTGTCCCTCAAGCTCTATGGCCACCAGCTCAAGTGCTGCGCCCGCAAAGTGCTGGTAAGGCGCCGCGCAGGTGGGAAGGCGCTTCCGGCTGCAGGCAAGCCCTGGGCGGCTGGGGTCCTTGCTGACGCCCAGACCTCCTCCTTCCAGGAGCCTGCACCCCGAGGTTTCGACAACCAGTCCTTCCAGTCGGAGCCTGACGAGGATGACAACGCCAGCTTGGCCCCCACCCCCGACGCCGAGCCTGCGCCCCCGTCCCTGCCCGTGGCAGACCCCGACCCCGCGCCGCCCAGGCCCGGGGCCCCAGCGGCCCCTGTGAGCGCGCAGGGCAGCCCCGAGGCAGTGCGGTCCATCTTGACCAAGGAGCGGCGGCCCGAGGGCGGCTACAAGGCCGTGTGGTTCGGGGAGGACATCGGTGCCGAGGCCGACGTCGTGGTGCTCAACACACCCGGCATGGATGGCACAGGCGCGGATGCTGACGACGACGACGACCCCGAATACACCTACATATAGTCTGATGCTGTACGCTGCCCCTGTTCCCTGTTTGGGCGCACAATAAAGCGACTTTTCCCAGCCACCAGGCTGCAGCGTCCGTGGGGTGGGGGGCTGCGCCGATGACTGTGGGGCCCCGTGGCGAGGGGCCGCCAGCACGGAGCCCAGCGAACGAGGGGAGGCAGACTGTGGGAACCTAGGGTCCTGAGGACCTGTGCGGGAGACTGCGCGGGCAGGGAGACCTGTCGCCACCGCGGAGCCACGGCCAGTCAGCAGGGAGGCGTCCGCCCTCCCACGGGCCTGGCTGCTGGGGTTGGGGGGGTCTGTGGCTGGTCCCACCGAGAGCTTCCGCAGCAGCCGTCGCACACGCAGGGGGCCCACCCCGACACCCCGACTCCCCAACCTCCTGCTTCCGATTTGCGGGAGCCAACCCGCCCAGGGCAACACGTGGCCCTGTCGGCCCCGCCCCTCCCCGCAGTGCATAAATGCGCACGGCCCGGGGCTCCCGCGAGCTGTTTGTCCCAGAGACTCCGGCCGCCAGGTATTCCGGCCCCCGGGCCCCTAGCGCGGGCGGGAGCGGCGTCCGCGGGCTGGGGGTCTGAGAGTGGGGGTCTGGGGCCGCTGAGGGAGCCGAGGGGGTAGGGACGGAACCCGCGCTGGGCGCTGGGCCAGGGCCCGGGAGGAGGGCGCGCGGGGCGCCGATCCTCCGACTTGCTTAGGTTTCGCTTTCCCGCGAGTTGCGGTTTCGTTTTCCTGGGTCTTTGCGCCCGCCGCCTTCACGCGGCTTTTTCGCGCTCTCTCCACAGGGTCCGGCCTGCCACTACCGTGCAGACCTGACGCTGGCTCAACACCTGTGACCGCACGTGTGCGCCCCGGCCGCATCTGCAGTCACAGCCTGTGGCCACCTCCACCCGCCAGCGCTGGTGGCTACACTCCTCCATCCACACTTGTGGCCCCCACACCTGTCCCACCGGGTCACACCTGTGACACTCGGCCTCGCTCCCTGTGGCCGCAGCCCAACACCTGCAGTAATATTTACAGTGACACCTGTCGGGACGCCTCCCGCCCCCCGGACAGAGATGGCCAAAGCTCCCGTGAGGTGAGCACCTGCCACCCATGCCCGCCCTCCCGTGCGCCGCCCCGGCCCACACGGTCCCTCCGCCGCAGGAACGCCTCGCGCCCACGTTTTGGGGAGTGGCTGCTGTGCCAGGTGAGCAGCGGCAGCTACGCGGGGCTGTGCTGGCTGGACGAGGCCCACACGCGCTTCCGCGTGCCCTGGAAACACTTCGGGCGAAGGGACCTGAGCGAGGAAGACGCGCACATCTTCAAGGTGGGACCCTGCCCAGCCCGAAGCTGGCACCTGCCCGGCACTGCGCGGGCACTGGTCCTGGGCTCACCTCCTCTATCCGCCTCCGCAGGCCTGGGCGGTGGCTCGCGGCAGGTGGCCTCCCAGCAGCCTCGGAGGTGACCCGCGGTTCTCCGAGGCTGCTGAGCGCCCCGAGCGCCCCGGCTGGAAAACCAACTTCCGCTGTGCGCTGGAGAGCACGCGGCTCTTCAAGCTGCTGTGCGACAACTCGGGAGATCCCGCTGACCCGCACAAGGTGTTCCAGCTGCGCGCCGAGCGGCACTGCACAGATAATGGCCACGGCCCTGCCAAGGGGCCCCAAGTGCTGGCATCCCAGCCACTTGCTCTCGGCCCTAACGCCTCTCATGGTGTGGCAGAGGAAGCTGTTCTGGGAGATGCCCCACCTGCACAGATGGCCTTGGCAGACTGGGGGTCTGGGGATCCCAGTCCTTTGGCTGGCCTAGCTGGCCCCGGTGAGGACATCTTACTTCAGGCTCTGCAGCAGAGCTGCCTAGAAGCTTGGCGAGTGGACCCGACTCCACCCCAGCCTCTAGGTAAAACCCTTGGGTGGGACTCCCTGGGAGAGGGCAGGGTGCCAGGAGCCAGCTTGACTCTTCTTCCGGTCTTCCTCAGGCCCGGGACTGCCTGCTGGAGAGCTGTTTGCCACCCCAGGCCCTCAGCCCACACTCCCAGCTGTGCCGGCAGGCGAGGCCTCATGTGGCTGGCCCACTCCACCCTCACAGCCTGCTGTGTATGCAGTGCCCAACCCTGGCACCCTGGACGTGACCATCCTCTACAAGGGTCACCAAGTGCTACACAAGGTGGTGGGGCAGCAGAGCTGTGTGTTCCTGTATGACACCCCGAGCCAAGCCTGGGGGTTCCCAGGGCCCCAGCAGGTGGCCTTCCCCAGCCCTGCAGCACTCCCAGACCAGAAGCAGCTGCGCTACACGGAAGAGCTGCTGCGGCACGTGGACCCGGGCCTGCAGCTTGAGCTGCGGGATGGGGGACTGTGGGCCCTGCGCAAGGGCAAGTGCCGGGTTTACTGGGAGGTGGGCGGGCCCCTGGTCTCTGACAGGCCCTCCTCCCCTGCCCGGCTGCTGGAACGCAACTGCAGTACCCCCATCTTCAACTTCAAGGTCTTCTTCCAAGGTGAGCAAGCTGGCCCATTTTATGGGGTGCAGTGGGGGAGGGGCAGTCCAGCGCTGACCACAGTACCCCTGCAGAGCTGGCAGAGTTCCGGGCACAGCATCGCAGGGCCTCCCCAAACTACACCATCTACCTGGGCTTTGGGAAGGACCTGGCAGCCGGCAGGTCCAAGGAGAGAAGCCTTGTCCTGGTCAAGGTGAGGCTGGGTGACCAGGGGAGGCGGGACTGGAGGCCAGGGTTGCCAGCCTAAGCCCGCCTAGCCTGTGCTCCCCTCCCTGCACAGCTGGAGCCATGGCTGTGCCGCGCCTACCTGGAGGAAGCACAGCGCCAGGGCCTGTCGTCCCTGGAGAGCAGCAGCCTGGGCCTGTCTATGTCTAGCACCAACAGCCTCTACAATGACATCGATAATTTCCTCATGGAGTTGCCTGCCTCAGAGCCCCAATAAAGAGCACCCCGCAAACCAGTGTAGTCTCCGCCTGCGGGTCCGAAGAGGGCACCACCCCCTAGTGCCACTGTGCCCACACCCACTTGTTCTGCCAAGAAACACCCCACGCTTGCTTCAGGGCCAACCATGTGTATTTGGGGCGCAGGAGGGGGCCCTGATGCCACATTTCTGGGGATCCCGTCGTGGGGAATATGGGGCCAGGTGGAAACACGTGTCTGCGATGTAGGAATGCCCAAGCCAGCGAGTGGGGTGTCCTGTGGCCTCAGGCTTCGGTGCCCTGTGTGGGCGGCTCAGCGCTGGCCTCTGCCTTCTTGTGCCTGCGCATGTGCCGGTACTTGTCCACGTACGCCTTCACCAGGTTGGCCACCTTCACAGGGTTGATCTCGCCGCTCTTGCTGTGGCAGATCTGGGGAAGGGACAATGAGCAGGGTGCCCACCCCGTGTTGCCTGCGCTGCCCCCACCGCCCGCACAGCCCGTCATACCTTCTGCACGGCCTTCCGCAAGATGTCCTTGTACTCGTCTTTGCTCACCTCCCTCCTCTGGTAGAAGGGCTTGATGGCCAGCTTTACCTCCTCCACTGCCCGTTCCTGCATGTGCAGCTTCTTCATGTACTGCGGGAGCACACATCTCACTCGGGGGCACGCAAGCTGGCGTCTGCCCACCCTGGCAGGCACCCTGGCCTTACCTCTTCCTTCTTGGTCTTCTCCAGGCCCGGCTTGGGTGTGGCCATCCTCTCCTCCGAGTTGGTGGCTTGGCTGCCTGTATCTGTGGTTGTGGCCAAGGCAGTGGGCACTGCAGCTAGGCTCTGACCCAGCCCACAGCCTGCCAGCGGAAGGCTCCCCTGCAGGACCAACTGGACTGTAGGCTGGCTGGCTGGCACGTATGGGGGGAGGTTGGCAGGCGGAGCCAGGGCTGGAGGCACGTAGGGACTGTAAACCTGGGACACAAACACTACCAGTGAGGGCCTGGCCAGCAGCTCCCTCCCTGTCCTTAAGGGGCAAGCCCAAGGCCCAGGGACACACCTGAGAGGGGTCTGCACCCAGGAACACGGGTTCTGGAAGTGCATGGCTGGGTGGAGGCAGCTCAGGAAGTGGTGCCAAGGTTGCTGCAGCAGGGGTGACGTCCTCCGTGTCCCAGGCCCCCTCTCGGGACCTCTGGGGCCTGTGAAGTGGGGCCCCTGGGGGCCAACATGGGTGAGGCAGAGGGGCAGGGAGCCTGCCCTGGCCCACCCAGCCAGGGAGTGCCTACTCACTGGGGGCCCTGTCGGCTGCAGCACTGCCTGCCGGCTCCTGCAGGTTCCAAGTGACCCGCTTCACCAGGGCCCGGGAGCGCAGCAGGGGCGCCTGCCAGGCCTGCTCGGACCCAGGCACCTCGTGAACCTTCCCACTTGCTGCCGAGTCAGTCTTGTCCACAGACACCATGCCAAGGGGGTCCTGCCCAAGTGTGCGCTGTTCGGGGACGCCCTGGGCTGGGAGTGGGAGCTGCGAGGTTTCCTCCCGGTAAGTCAGTGACACTTCAGCCTGGGTGCTGGCTGTGGGCAGGCTAGTGCCCAGTGGCCAGGTGGCTGGGGCCGGCGTGGGCTTTGGCAGGAGGTCTCGCTCTGGGGAGGAGTCCGTGCTCTCGGGAGAGGGTGGCGAGCTCATGTCGTCTAGCTGGGTGAGGATGGCATCGCTGGAGAAGTCCTCGAAGACGTGGCCCGCCTCCACCGAGTCCCCGTAGTCTAAGTCGTCAGCTGGGGCCTCGGCTGACACGCTCAGTGCAGGGGGCTCCTGCACAGCCGCCCGGCAGTCCGTAGCCCCCTGGGAGGTGGTACCTGCTGGTGTTGGCAGTCCAGCTGGGGGCTCCCCTGGGGGTGGAGGTGCTGGTGAGGCTTCTGTGATGGCCATGTTCTCCTCAGGGGACAGGGCCAGGGGCCGTTTCTCCTGGGAACACTGTGGCTGAGGCTCCCGCACGCGGTGCTCCGAACTCGGGGAGTGTGACCTCTGCTTCCTCCGCTCCCGAGGCCGGGCATTGCTGTCCCTCCTGTCAGGCCGCTCCCGGCTCCGCTCCCGCTGGCGCTTGTGCCTGTGGCCCCTCTCCAGGCT